GGGAAGGGGGGTATCTAATCACAACCCTCCCCTCCCTTGTGCCAAAGAGGGGGAATGAGTTTGCATATACATGTAAGTCACCACTCTTAACCCTTTAACTCCCAGAAGTGATCAACACGAAACTTCTCCCTACAATATCCATACATTATTCAGCAAACAGGTAATGAGAATATTCAAACTTATCAGGTAGAAGCTGCTATCTTGATCTAGCACCATGTTCTTATAACTAATTTACAAGGAAATGTGTAGCATTTAGAGTGGAGAATTAGCAAATAAGATCTTGGGAGTTAAAGGCTTAAAATATATTCATATGTTTTTTTCCAAAATATCTGTAGACCAAACTACTTAAATGTATCTACATTTACACTTCGTATGGCTTTGGGTGACAAAGGGACAGCAGTCTCAAAAGGAGTAAGACTTACAGTTACTGTAAGTCTCACAAGTTCACAAAATTAATGGTACCTTTGTAGTACCTATGAAGTATCTGGAGGGCATGGGTTTGAATCCCATCCAAACCTAATTTTTTCTTTCCAGGCTTCCCTTCTGCAATTGCTTACATTGCAGCTCACCTGCAAGAATCATTCCTTTTTTTGAGAATCATTGAAAACCACATTGGAGAACCACTTCTCCGATGTATTTTGAAGACTGGGAAATTAAATTCTCTTTTACCGGGTATATATGAATCAACACGAGAAAACAAACTAAGACAACTCTCTTTAACGCTTTTAAACAGGACTACAAAAACCAGAAATAATTATTTCGAATTCGATTAACAGATGGTGAAACATATTCTTCTGGCCAAATCCAGACTCATGGAGCACAGACAGTGACAAAAGATCAATCGCTCTAAAGGCCCTGGTATCGTGGTTAATAAAGTATAGGTTTTTAAATTACTTCATTGCCAACGTAGGTTAACCGAGGTACTGGTGGCCCTAGAAATAAAATAAGCAGTTGGGTAATAAATAACTTATAGGACGCTTTAGGTGGGTTGTGTAACTGAGTATTTTTACGAGTTGTTCTGGCACTACTCGTAAGTAAAAATAGTTCGTGATACTACCCACCAAAACGTCTGAAAATAAAGTACATACCAAACCATTACTACCACCGCGGAGTAATGGGCTAAATGTAACATTTCTACCCTTACCTTCGATGTTAATATGTGTTCCACGGTAATTTGCTTCCACACAGTGTTACCACAGTCAACCTACGAAGGACGCCATCTTGTAGACGCAGCCTCGTTCCCGGGTTTGTCTATATTGTTTTCAAAAAGGAGGAAGAGAAGACACTGGGAACGAGCTTTGCAAATTGAGCAACTTTTGGTATTTAGAGCAACAATTTGAGCAACATATAGCTTTAGATACATATCAAGCACGAAAAAGTCAGCGATTTCATAGAAAACTTCAATTTATGCAAATTTCTTGAATTAATGACTGTTTATATGAAAATCATATATGTGAACTGCGGTCTAGGAAATGAGTATGGTGGCGATCTTCGCAGTAATGAACACTACAGAGTATCATTTAGACCGCAGGGGAAAATTTACACCGCCATCAAGGTAAAAAAAACCCTTTAAACCTTAGTGATCTTGGCATGTAGCAAGTTTTATCTGGTCAAGTGATGTTTAAGCAGAGTGAGGGCCTGTTTACATGGAGGTGGGAGACTACAGGTCGGTGAGGTAACCAGCCTAGTTGTGGTCGAAAAATAGCCTTCACAACTGCACGGCTTCATAGATGATGATGTAGTATTCCGCTGCCACGCTATGCTCAATAGTCTGACGTCTCCTCCTTGAATCACCTGCACATAGAGCGCACTGCTGCTCACAGGTACTTGTAGTTCCCGCTTCCTCTACACAAACCTGAGCCGTGACGTGAAAATAAACCTGACTAGAATCTTGACCGGCAAATCGGTAAGCCTCGAAATAGAATTCATCCGTTTCATTATTTGCACATTCAGGGTTTCTCACCACGTCCCCTAGCTGACAGCTAAGTACAAAAAAAGAACACCTCTCATGAGGGATCTTCAATTTGAATTTAAAATTGTAGTTAATCTCAGGAGCCTAATGCCCTATCTTACTTCGAGTGCTGATCCCGTTTTTCATGGCAAGAAATGACATGTCCTGACCTCGAGCTTAATATTTTCCAGTCCGGCTCTCCTACTCAGTCAGTAAGTACATACATATGATTACAAACCGAATTGAAATTCACGCAGTCCAGTCACCATTATAACTGACCGCCAAATAATGAAAAAAGTGTTCAATTCCTTTACCCGTTTGAGATGACAAGGACGGCAGTGTTGCCTCCGGCCTGACTGTTAATGTCCGTCCTGACCTCTTTAAAATGAACGTCAAACTGCTTGGAAGGAAACAGTCAACCGTCCATAGAGCTCTTCCTTCAAGGTAATGGTTGTATTTTGGTCAACTAGTAGGCTGTTTGTAGAATAATACAGTGTGAAAGTAAAAAAGCAACATGCCAGTGGCTGAAAAAAAATTTACGGTGTTAAAGAACGTTACGCTGACCTACTACCTTAGTTACGTCTTCCATTAAAGAGACCACCAAGAGATTCAGCAGCAAAGTCGCGTTAAGTTTTATTTGAAATTTTAACTTTTATAACGTTTAATTCTTTATTCATATGGGCATATTATTGTATTATAGACGCCTTCTCAAACTACCTTTTCTAACGTCTGAAACGGATTTTTATCCAACGTATAGGCCATTTTACAGCTGTGTACCTAGTTGCCAAGCCTTTGATTTGGAGAGAGGCTGAAGATGACCTCGTTGTGATAGAGACCAGTATCTAGTTAGCATAATAACAAAGTCCTTTGCATTTGAAAAGCAGCAAGGTTTGTATCATTGCAAGGTCAACCTTAGCCTCACTTCTGTTCAAAGGCGTGACAACCAAGCACAAAACTGTAAAATGAACTATTCAGGAGAAACTGTCTGGAAAGAAAAAAACCCTCTTGTTCTTTAACTGCTTGTTTCACACAGAGCAGCGGCGGATATCCGAGTTAAAACTTGAAAAGTCACTTGACGTCGAAATGGGCGAGTTGAAGTTATTCTAAGAAACTATTCGATTTATGCTAGAAAGCTGTAGAATTGAAGCAGAGTAAACCAGCCTTTTCTGCCGAAGACCGCAAAAGGCTGCTCTAGGAGAAATTACAGACGAGTGAGGGCAACTGATCACCAGGCCCTAAAGCTAACTCTAATCCTTACCACAGCATACATCCATTGATAGATATACGCACTTTAAGCTGAGCCAAACCTAAACTGACATTGGCAACAGGGAACCCAATGCCAACCGTTTCTCTGGAAAAAAGCTTCCGTCAGTTCACGTTTCTTTTACCTTCATCAGAAGCTGTCTGTAAATGCAGGGGCAGGAAACTGGCCTGAATCCCAGTTTTCTCTTTGTTGTACAAACACTTGATGGTACAAAAGTGATCATATTTATATGTCACGTCAGAGCCAATTGGTTCGGCGTCGATTTCAAACTCGTATACCAAATAATCATTCTGGGAAACAGTCTCCTCGGTGAGGCTTTTCATACAAACGTTTGCTTGAAATGGTCCGCAATGCACTCTGTTTAATACTTGTGTAAAGGATGGTTTGCAGCTTTCTTTGGTATTAGGTCCTTTCAATCTTAACTCTCAGCAAGGAGAGTTAAAATAAAGCGAATTTAACATTCTCTTTTTTCCTTTTTGAATAAGAAAGGAAAAAGAGTTGAAGCTGGTCACTTTTCGTATGTATAATTTGGTGAGTTATGAAAATGGTTTTTGAAATGGGTGGAAGTTTCTGAAAAGAACTGCGGTGTTGCGTTGGTAGGGATATCAACTGAGTTGATAATGTAAATTGACCACCGTAGAGAGCTTCTACCGGCGTAGGAGGTTGACAGTAAGGAGAATTACCCATTTGATCTGTGAGTTAAAGGATTAACAGCGTTTCAGGTATCCTGTGTGATCAAATTACCAAACAGACGTACTGCAACGAAGAATATATTTGTTAAATAAATATTTTTAAAGATACCCTGACGCACGCGCTGAGAACCAGAACACTGATCATGAAATGAACCATATCCAACTTGATCCACGATCTTTGTTGATCCTCAGGCGTTGCTCTCTCGCACTCTTGAAATGTCTAGTGACAGACTTCAAAATGTGCGAGATATTCGTTCAGAAGACTTGGCCAATTTTCAACTGCAATCCTGTAAAAACTTATGTCAAAATACTTTTAAAATCTTTATTCAACTTAGGTCAATATCTGGTGGGGAAGCAATTAAATTTCGGGGCGACGGAATTTCATCGAGGGCGAGGGAATTTGGGGTGACCGTGCATGGGGGCGATGTCACATGTTACCGAAACGATACGGTAAGGACTTCATGGTACGACCACGCCGCAGATCTGTTTCTCCAGATCTGCTAACTGAGCTGAGTGTATTTCGGGATCGTTTCCTGCCATATTCAGCGCTCTTTCTTTGAACCTTTGAACCTGAGATACCTTACTTCACAAATAGATTTGACGACGGTGAGCAATGGATTAAGGTGAATTGAAACAACTTCAAATAAATGTACAGTGCAAGTGTAGTGAGGTAATTGCTCTAAACCTAAATGTCGAGTTTTACTGATTACAGCGAGAGGTACTGCGAGGATACGGTAACTGTAGCCTGCAATGCAGGCGTCTTACATGGGCGAGTTAACATCACAAGCTCGTGATCGTTTATTCGACCTGTCATGTTTGATTTAGAGTAAAGAGGAAGATGTGGGGAGGGGCAGGTGCCACCCGTCCCCTCTCCTTACTTTTGCCTATCGCTCACCACCTTGGTACAAATTTCTTTCCCTCCCCAACATTCCGCTGCTGTAAAAAATCAAAGATGTTGGATATAATTTTAACCAAGGAAATACTGAGCACTCACTCGCCAGGCACTAGTCTGCAGGCTACGGTAACTAAAGATTTGATTCAAACTATCGAAACTTACAGCGCTTACAAAAAATACAAAAAAAAAAAATCCACATTTCTTTTCTTCTGGTTCATCCCATTACTTTAATGGTCCATACTTTATGAAAATGGTACATAACTTTTGAAAGCCAGAGGCCACAAGCACAAGCATCTGTTATTTGTTCCTGATCGATGTTGACACTTGGAGATATTTTCCCTCCAGACGTTGATACAAAAGACCAAATATTTCAGGACGTTTTTGAGGACACTTACACAACACAATTAACTCGCCACAGTCTTTTCGTTAAAACATGTTATAAAATGAAAATTAATACGCAAAGATTTACAGAACGATTAAAGCAGGCCCGTGAAAGATAAACGAAGTACTTTATGACTTTATTTGTGAAACAATTTTTGGTTCTTGGAGTGCACTCAAGTATTCGTGTCAAAGGAAAACGAAAAAATTTCTGTTAATAAATATTCCCATTTATCGTTGAAACTACTTTTTGATATACTGTCGATGGTGGGCAATTCAGGGCTGCATTTCCGAGCTAGTTTTGAAACATGTGAACGAGATTCTAACAGTGCGTTAGAAACCACTACAGGTTACAAAAAATTCATACATTGTAAACGTAAAGAAGGATATCTTTTCGTTGCTTAAATAAAAAACTTTTCAGAGCTTATTTATTTAAAATTTATCTTAATTATTTGATGCTTATGAACGAGATTCGGATGATGTCAGTGTCTGAGCAACGCGCACCTACCCCTCCCCTAACAAATCATTAACCCCAGATTGTTTGCAATTGACAGTTGTTGGGTTAGGGGAGGGGTAGGTGCGCAGTTGTTCACACTGATCCCGAGATACAAATAATGCATCAGCAACCTCTACTGGTTACACAAAACCATACGTTAAAACCGTATGAATTCCGAAAAAGGAACGATCGCTTTAGTTGTAATTTCAGTAAACACAATAAGACAAAACTCAGGCATTGATTTCAAATCAAGGTTGTTTTGGAACAGACCTAGCAATTCTCTATACACAGACATCAATGGACTATCAAATGTTAACGAGGTATTCCCATTTCGACATGACCAAAGTATCTTACAGGAGGTAAATAACAAGGCAAATAAGTTCCATAGGGCTGTACTGAAGCTATGTAACTTTACGTCAGGTACAAATCTTCAGATAAAGGTCCATTCACGAACCCGCAAATAATCTGTGCTAACTAACATAGGTTTGTGATTGTTTCATTTGATAATATTGACCTAAAAGCGTCTATTTAATTCTTTAGCGTAATTACTTTTTTTTAAAGTTACTTCTTAGCAACTTTCCTTTTTAGTTCTTCCTTATATGACAGAATATCGCCTTTCCATGGTGCTATTGTCTGTTTCTCACAAATCCAAATTTCTTTTGCAACCTAAAGAGAAAGGAAATTATCATTTAAACTACAACAAAGTTGCAAAGATTAACTTAAGAATCTTTTGTACAACAACACTTTTTACTTCGACACAGCGAGAAAATCTTAACAGATTTTCCCTACTAAAACACGAGCTCTATGCCAAAAATTCTTCACTCTCACGAAGTAAATTTCATTAATAACTGCACTTTACACTTTTTACTTCGACACAGCGAGAAAATCTAAACAGATTTTCCCGACTAAAACACGAGCTCTATGCCAAAAATTCTTCACTCTCACGAAGTAAATTTCATTAATAACTGCGCTTTCCGACTGAGTGTCATAAAACCTAGACCGAGGTTACCTCCAAGGCCAGTCAGAACAAAAAGTAAATATATCACCAAGAACTTGAAGCACGGGAAAACGCGTATGGCCGAGTCGCAGTTGATTTTGATTTGGCATCTGATTGGTGGAGAGGGTGGCGTGAGATTTATGGATCAATCACAGTGCGAAATGAAGTAAACCAATAAAATCCTGAATAACTCTGGACTTTCACGAAAAAAGATTAGATTCAAACCTGATTTATGAGTCGGAAGTCGTGACTAACAAGCACCATTCCTCCTTCAAAGTCGTTGATAGCGTCTGCCAAAGCGTCGATGGTTTCCATGTCCAAGTGATTAGTGGGTTCGTCAAGTAACAGGAGATGTGGAGCTTGGAAGGCCAGCCAAGCAAACACAACTCGGCATCGCTGCCCATCAGATAAATTACGCATGGGACAAATCTGTGTTTTGATTGGAGATAAAACTTCTGATTAGCATCAATAATTTTTTTTGTTAACAGGTAAGCTTTTAAATTATTGGTAAAAAGAATTACACATTCTTCACGAGCGTGGGACAAATAAAGCATCTAATACCCGAGTGAGTGTTACCATTCGCCCCTTGCAGTTTCGACACTCACCAAAACACAACACAGAGTAAAGTGCCTTGCACACGAACTGAAGAAATGAATAAAGGGCTTAAGTCTTTAAAGAAACTGTGGTCCAACTTCCGTGGGGGTATTACAAGACAATTTTTAACTGAATTTAAAATGTAGATTGGCCACCGTAAAGATTTTTTTGAGGTGACGTTTTAAGCGTGAGCCCTTCGTCTCAGCGAGCTCGAGTTGATAACGTACATTTGCCGTAGTAAAGAAATTACAAAGCTGACGTCTCGAGAAGTTGCCTTTCGCTCAAAACGCCAGCTTTAGGTCCCTCCACGGTAAAAAATTAAAATTATCAACTCATTTGGTGAAACCAAATTACCATACAACACAGTACTATGACCTGACAGAGCTTTCATCAAGACCACCACATTGAGAGCCTCGCTCATTGCTTATTTAAACATTGCTCAGCAATCATTGTGTACAGTGTAAGGCGGATGTTTTAGTTAAGCTTCTCCTCTAGTCTTACATATTCCTTCTTTCAACAATCTTAATTTAAAATTGTGAAATTGTGAATATCAGAACGTCTACTTTAATACACTCCATGCTACCATTTGTCCGTTCAGTATCATAGATCACACATGACGTCAAAATGCAGTGAGCAAAAAAAGATTTCGCACACGAGGCACAGCCGAGTATGTCACTGACTTGGAACTTCTGAAATATTTCAGTGAACAGACCTACGTCTGTCCTCTAAAACATTATAACGAAGTACCAATCAAAATACGTGCGCGATGCAGCTTACATAAAAATTGCTTTCTCCTAGTAATTTTAATCTGATGATTTTTATACTCGTATTCTCAAGAGTTTAGGTGTCTAAGACTCGATAGTACAAGTTTCTTAAGTTTCATATGTAATACAAAGAAGCTCTAAGGTGGTGGCCATATAAACACCGTGTTTACCGACCTGTTGTTTTCCTGTCAGTCCATATCTTCCTATTGACTTCCGCATGTCCTCCACCTCTTTGATTTCAGGAAAGCATTTCATCATGAATGCAAGAGCTGACATGTCCAGTTCTAACATGTCTTGAAGATGCTGCAAAGAACAAGGCAAACTTCAGAATTAATCATGCAACACAGTGACAAACACAAACCTCTTTTGAAGTACATGAGCATTTTTTGTCACAATAGGCTTAATAAGGAATGTGACATCAGCTAAAATCAAGACACATCTGTAATTAATCATAATTATTCAAACCTGATGATAGCGACAAATCTTGAGGTGATTATGCCTTCGTATAAGCCCATCAGTAGGTGTCAGTGTTCCATCAAGTAGCTTCAGCAGTGTGGACTTGCCAGCTCCATTGGGACCCACCAGAGCTATTCTGGACTCTAAGTCAATTCCAAAATCCAACTTCTTGTAAATGGCAGGCTGAAAATAAAATTTAAAAAAATATATCTGTAAATGGTAGGAATGAAATGGACTCAGTAATAGTGACTGAGGTTTGGACAACCTCAGCGTAAATCATCATCACCACAAAGGCACTAGTAAAGACTTTTGATTGGGTGATTGTGGGATCAAGCAAATGCAATCATAACAGTGTGATGTTTTCTAGGAGCAATTTCAGTTTCTCTTTCGATATACAGTAGTGTTACAATGTCCGCAGTACACTTTAATAGCATGGTAGCTCACCTTATCTTCTCCATAGCTGAAGCTCATTGTTTGTACTTGAACAACTGGTGGGGCAAGTTTTCCACAATCAGGAAAATAAAACGTCAAGACCTGTTGGTTGAGAGAATAAAAACATCAGTGGAGAAAAAACCTTAACTGTTTCCTATTTTTGCTTCCCTCCAGCAGATTACAGCTCCTTCAGCACTCATAGGCACAAGCTTGTATAGTTGAAATTGTCCAACAACAGTTTCACCCTTTAAGTCCCGTTCATAAGACAGAATTTCTCCTTACAATATCAATACAATATCAGGCAGACAAGTGATGAGAATAAAGAAAGATATCAATTAGGGGATTATAAGTTGATCCAACACCAAATTCTCCAAACTAATGTCACAAAAACTTTCTGACAGACAGTAAGGAGAGTTACTAATGAAATCTTGGGAGTTAGAGGTTAACAGTATGTGTAAAGCTAGTAAATTTGGAAGTGGTCCTATAAAATTGTCATGAATACCTAATACTCACTTTGAAAGTGTAAATCAGTACTAACTACAGTTAACTGTTGTTGTCGTAACAATTTCATCTCAATTTGTGTCTTGTATATGAGTGCAATGGTAAATGAAGAGCAAAGTACTGTATGATGCTGCAGGCCCGATTCTTTACCTTGTCTTTGACAACTTTTTCTGTGAGGCCACCTGCCACCATTTTGCTAAGGACCTTTTCTTTGCTTTGAGCCTGTCTGGCAAGCTTAGCACTACCGTGACCAAACCTGGCAATGTAGTCCTACAATCATAAAAAGAAAAACAAATGAACTATAGCAGTCACTAGCATGGTTTACTGATCATTATAATGACAAGTCTCATATTCTTGTACAAGCAGTACTAACAAAAGAAAGAAAGAATTTTTTGAACCATTTCTGGCAAGCCATGCATTTTGGAGAGGGTATCAGGGTTTGATAGGGGAGCTAGAGGCAGATGAATTTTGTTAAAAGTTAATTCATACTTTATTAGGTTAAAGCTACATTGACGATAATCCATTTAAAGTTTTGAGCCAGATAAGTAATGTGAACTGACTATTAACATAACATTTGCCTCAAAAGTCTATTTTTAAGAAACTGCTCAACCCCTCTACACCCTAACATCAGTATGCATATTCTCCATACTGTTCTCTATACATTTCCTAAGGTGCTGGCAAGGAGAATTTGTTTAATAATCAAGAGCTTCTTGAGTTTGTGACAATTTCTTTTATTCTTATGACCTTATTGTGTGATTCAGGGGTGATATTGTAAAAAGAAATTGCATTCTACTTACTCTTTGCAGTCAAATTGTTAAAATAAAAAATGAACAGTCCTGGATAAAATCAATGTCAATTCTTTAGCTGCAATTTTTGCCTGCAGGCTTGACTGGAATCTGGCTAGGAAGTCAGCTGTTTTAGTAAATCGCTTCAGGCATTGTGTCCATCACAGCATCCCAGTAGAACTGAGAGCTGTTAAAACTCGGCCTTTTAGGTCATCATCCTTCCACAGCCAGATACGGCATTGTACAAATGGATCAATGTTGCTAGAGTACTTTTACAAGTTATTTTTCATTGATACTGTAAATACCTTCATGTGCTTTATTTGATCTTGTTCTCTGCTGTACTGTTTCATTTGGTTTTCCTCCAGTTCTGCTCTTGTTTTCATGTAAGAGTCATAGTTACCCTTTGGAAGAACAGAAAAAAAAACTAAGACAGAAATTGCAAGTCTCATACTGCCATTACCTTTAACATTGTTGCTGTATTCATAATAAGTTTGATTAGGAATATTAACTCTTTACAACCTAACATCAGGATTAAAATTCTCCATACTATTCTCTATACATTTGCTAAGGTGCTGACAAGGAGAATTTGTTTAACAATCAAGAGTTTCTTTAGTTGGTGATCATTTACTTTATTCTCATGACGTCCATGTGTGATTCAGTAGTGATATTGAAAGGAGAAATTAGATGTTGGTCACTCCTAGGGGTTAGAGGGTTAAGGTCACACACTAAGAAAATGAAGACAGGAATTAGCCTCCTTGTTTACAACATAAAAACAACATCTACTTCTTTTGCCATAATATCTGTATGAAGTCACAAGAAATCCTCACAGGCAATAAATACAGAAAAATAATGTTTTCACTAAAATGCTATCAATGTCATGCCTTCTGACAGAGTGCTTTTCAGTCAAATCAAGTTTTTGCCTTCAGGACTGTACAAGACTCATTTAAGAGAAAGCTCTTTTAGATTTTTGATGAAAGTAACTAAGTTATTTTCATTGAGGAAAGGCCTAGAAGGTGAAAAAAATTCCTGAGATCTCTGATACAAACAGCAAAATGTTATTTTGTAGAATTACTATGAGGAAAATAATCCGCAAGTATTGTGTGGGACTTTACAGATTTCTAAGAATTGTGCAGAATTGTACAGGTTTCACAGACTGTGCCATTCTGCCCTCCATACACTCTAATGAAGGTGCTGTTATAATCTACAATGTATGATCATTCTTACCCCATAATACACAAGTTTTCCTTTATGCATGTGGATAATGTTAGTGCACACCCCATTGAGGAAGTCCTGTGAATGTGATATCATCACCAATATCCTCTTGTAGCTGCAGGGAATCCGACAACAAAAAGGATTGCTATACACATACTGGTTATTCTATACTTAATGTTCTTCATTAAGCTTAACCTAACAATTTTGTTTGAATGACTTATTTCAGTTGATGTTTCATCTTTATGAAAGTTAATAAATAATATTTTAAAATAGAATTGGGGTTTTTCTCGTGTATATGTAAAGTCATTTAGAAACAGTGGTCTGACTTGTTAATGTGTATTTAAAAAATACATGTAGACTTTTTGTTGCCATGTGTCTGCTCAGCAATAGATCACAGATGACATAAAAATAGGTAACTAAGAGCAAGAAAGTGGCATATGAAGTGTAACTAGGTGTTCTCTGATGCTCTTACTACAAATTGACTTCTTCTGTGATCTGTTGCAGAACAAACCCAAAGCAACATGAAATCTATTTTTTAACCCTATAACTCCCAGAAGTGATTTAAAAGTTATTTCTCCCTTAAACATCCATACAATACCATGCAAACAGGTAATGAGAATACTTAAGCTTATCAGGTAAAAGTTCTTATCTTGATCTAACACAAAATTCTCCTTCCTCGTTTACAAGAAAGTGTGTTGTAGTTAGAATGAAGAATTAACAATCAGATCTTGGGAGTTAAAGGATTATCCAGAGGGAACAAAAATATTGCAGCAAGCCAATGATTTGAACAGGCTGTGTGAAGAGCCATAATATATGAGTGCCCAAGTCACAATCTGATGTAATTTTGAATTTGATTGGTTGAGAAGATGGGATTAGTTTTATGGACCAATCACACAGCAGAATAAATAGTGCTCCATTCCTAGACTGAACGACACCAAGAAGAACTTTGAAGGAGCTGCATTATTCCAGCAGTTGAATTCATAACAAGTAATATTTTAAGGTTCAATATTTTCATCATTTATTCATCTTTTAGGAGGCAGGTCTCAATTTTCACTTGTAACATTTCATAAAACAACTCACCTCTTCAGCTCTTCTTCCAGCCATACACATGCATCCAAATCCAGATGGTTTGTAGGCTCGTCCAACAAAAGAAGAGTTGGCTTTACAAACAGAGCTCGTGCCAAAGCGATTCTCATCCTCCAGCCTCCAGAGAAATCTTTTGTCTTTTTCAGCTGCATGGAAGGTGTAAATCCTAACCCACTAAGAATTTCAGCAGCCCTAGTTTCTGCCTTGTCCGCATCAAGGTCTTCAAGTCGTTCAAAGACATCCATTAATCTAGATGAAAGAATATTTCTGGCTTATTTCTCTTACTTATTCAAAGCAAAATAATGTTCTGTGGAGACCATACATAATTTCAAGCACCTATGGTGTTGCACAATTTATACTGCATTTTTACATACCAGCAAATCAATTTTGAAATGAAGATGATGAATTGCCTTGTCACCAGCATGGTACAAAAAAAATATCTTCAACAGGTATTGAAGCCCAGATCTTGGCTATTTAAAACCTTAAAGAAAAAACCCATATATGTAGTGTACACCTTTAAATGTACCTTGACTGGCATTATGTTCCATAGATGAGGCACTGAGTATATATGCAAAATGTCAGTTTGTCATTCATTTGTATATAGTGTACCTTTGCATACGGCGAAAAAAAATGATTACCCCTTGACTGGCATTATGTTCCACAACAATTTCAGGAGACATGCACAATTCTGTGTCAAATGCTTATACTTTATTGAAAGTGCACTGAGTATATGATGCAAAATCTCTTTTCTGTGAAAACAACACAGACCCCAACAAATCCATTGTTCAATTATTTCAACATTTTGGCCTTTCAATCGGGAAAATTCTCTTTAGAACATGGGTTACTGATGCTACCGGATATCTCACCATCAAGGTTTTGTTTGGGTCATTAGGAAGGTATCTTATCAGAAGCACTTTTGATACAATAAAAATTAGATTAAAATTGCAACAAAACCATACCTGTCACTACCCTCATCTCCAAGTTTGGTGAGTTCTGCAGCCTCAGCCTCAAGTCTCATCCTCTCCTCATCAACCTCCATGACACACTCAAGAGCTGTCTTGTCAGAGGCTTCCATCTCATTCTTAAGATGAAATATGTCAATATGCTGAGGAATTGGAATGTCTCTGCTTCCTATTGTCTCCAACATGGTGGATTTACCTGTTCAAAATACCAAAATTTTATAGTTATTAATTATCTAACCAATGAAGTATGTTCATTTAGCCCTTAACACCATAACATGAGTGTCTATACTCTACACACTCCTCTTTATACTGTACATTTACTGCCCTTAGTACTGAGAAAGAGAATTGGTTTAATGATTGAAGCTTCATAGCTTGTTAATCATTTCTTTTATTCTCATGATGTAAATGAATGACTTAAGAGTGTAACTTAAAGGAGAAATTAGATGCTCATCATTCTTAAGGTTTAAAGGGTTAATTACACATGTACAAGTAAATTCCGTAAGTTTGTTTATAGCCAAACATAACTTTAAAATGTGCAGAGTTTTTGAGTCACATGAAAATTAAACAGACATTCAAGCATGGTTTTTATTTTACATGATAAATTTCAAAACATAAAAATTTCTAAAGAAAAAGAAAGGCACCTCATAGGCTACATTTTCACTAAAGATTTTTTATAACCATCACATTACTGATCTTCACAAGTGTATCTAGTGATTAATTTTGCACATAAAATATTCATCAGTCCAGAATGTCTTTTCTTGATCTACTGTTACTATCTGGAATTAAGTAACCCAAGAAATCATGTTGAAATGGAAAGTTGTTTCATAGTTCATACTCCTTGATCAACAAACGATAATTTTTTTTAGTATTAGGAATGACCACGAGTTGATTGATTCTGACAAGAAAACATGTATACTCAAGTAAATTGTAAACATTTGTATTCCACTTCATAATAAAAGTTTAACAGTCCATAACTTTAGTGCAAATGAGGTAAAAATGATGGTAATCACACATTATTGTTGGCCATTTGACTCGATGAAAAAAAAATATCCCGCTTTTTTTTTTTTTTTCTCTGTCGGAAAGTTATGATTTTACCTCCTACTGGAAGAGTGTTGTTTCATCAATCTCTCCAATTCAAAGTATTTCTTGATACCAAAATTGATTCCAAATATCATGAGAAAAAAGCATTTAAAAAGGGTAGATTTTTCTGTTAATGACTTGAGTTTCTGCGTAATATCGTAGTAAGGAATTGATATCTTCTTGAATACTTCCGTTCCGATTTTGAAACATTCGTCACGATCAATTCACTGAAAAATTGTTATATATGGGTCTGTTCCTTATATTTTCATTTCACCGCAACGAAAAGAGTTATTCAAATCAATTGGTATTTCTTTGAAATGAGTGATTCTATTCAGAAAGAATACTTTAAACTTAGTAAAACTAAAGGAACCAATATATATATATTTTCAAAGGAACATGAAGAACCTACCGCATCCATTTAATCCCAATAAACCGTATCTTCGGCCACAATTCAATTCAAGTTTTGTATCAGTTAAAAGTTCAACACCATGGAAAGTAATTGAGAAATTTTCAATCTTCACATCCCGCGACTGTTCGTGAGATGCCAAAACGCCGGTACATGAGCGGTTCGATAAATCCAACTTCACACCAGCGCCATTTTCAGTTCCGTTCGAACTTTCAACACCATTTTCTGTCGCTTGGACGGCCGGTTTTGGCTTTCCTCTAGACTGAGCAGCAGCTTTTTTCTTTGCTTGACGTTTCTTCGCCGCTTCGGAAGGCATATTTGTGTGTTTCGATTAAGGATTATTGAAAGAAAATTCAGTTATTAGTTCACACGAGTGCAAACAAAAATTCTTCACGATTGCGCCATAGGAGACAACATGTGCATTGTAATATTGTTTCCAGCTCCTCTCAAAGTTCTCTGGACGAAAAAGTCTGGGTTTGATCCTTCTTTTGCCGCCATGTTTCCATGACTACTTGCCTAAGTTGAGACATTTTCAAAATGGCGGCGGCTCGGACGAGAACCATGGTTTCGGAAAGTTTTGATAGTTTTGTGGCGCCTGTCATTAATAAGCCAGTTCCTAATCATCTGTTAGAAACAAGTAAGTGTATCATAAGTTGAAGTGGAGCGACTGAATTCTCTTTTAAGCTACTTTTAAACGTTTTTTTTTGTAAATCTAACCGCCTGCTTCTTTTTGCAGAAATCTATGCAAAAGTTGGACAGAACTCTATTTTGCAAGCCAAACCTTCAGTTATAAATTTTTCCGGCTTCAAAGTTGGTGAAAAAATTACCCGAACACTTGTGAGTACATTTAAATCATAGTCTGGTAAAACAAACGTACAGTTCTAAAATTCCTAATCCCAACATAAAGAGCAATATACTACAGCCACATTTGTTTACAAGTTTCTATGATCCTAGGGTTTTGTTCTAAAGACGAGGAAATATAATTACTGAAAGTTTAGAGCAATATTTCGGAAAAATATGATAGTTTTCTGTTTAACTCCGAGTAGCCTTGATTTTTGAAATTTGTTGTAAATTTAGTGTGGTGCATGCGGTGTGGTTCTTAGTTCATGATAACCCTAATTTTCGTTTGTGTATTGAGTACAACAGCATCGCATGACAGGTTATTAATGTGGTTTCACATTTAGCCATATAGCCGTTTTTCAGTTGGACTCACAAATACAGAAAGTATTCACTGTAAAGGCCGAATTGTACATTTTATAAGCTGCGTTAATGTAAAATGAACACCCATAATGTAATATTTGGATGTAAAATGGAGTATGTGATTGCTATTGCTTCCTTTTTTATGTCTCAGAGATTAGCAAATGCTTCTGATGAAAGCCAAAGAATGCATATAATACCACCATCTACCAAGTTCTTTTATATCAAATATACAAAGAAGGTACTCTTACTTTGATTATTACAGCTGCTAATTGTGCCTAACACTGATTTATCCTACATGTACATGTACCTTTGTTACTATCACAATTTTTATATTTGTTTGTGGTTACTTAACTGCAAGTGGATATTTGTTAGTTGTAAAAGTCTGTTTTTGCTTTTATACCTACTCTGTTAATTTTTGCCTGTATAATTTTAAAGGAATTGTGTTTTGTTCAACCCTTTATAATTTTAGCCCCTAAGAGTGACTGGCATCTAATTTCTCCCTTTAATATCATCCCTGAATCAAACATGAAAGTCATGAGAATAAAGGAGATGATCACCAACTAAAGCAGCTCTTGATTGTGAAATAAATTCTCCTTGTCAGCCTCTTTGGAAATGAATGGAGAACAGTATGGAGAATATGCATACTGATGTTAGGATGTTGTCATGTATTACTTAAGAACTACACACCCCAAACAACATGGCGGTTCGGCAAGTAAAAGACTGTTTAATGAAGCCTCATGCGTGCGCATGAGCAAACCATATATGGTAACACACAACATACAACACACTGGAAAACCATAACATTCCTCCACACATTAAATGATCTGTCCCTAGCTTTCAAAACAAGCCCTAAAATACAATTTCAAGGAAAACATAAAATAAACCAACAGTGTCCGGTAACCACAGTTCGAAAGGTAAGAACGACCTTTAAACAAGAAAACGAACAGAATAGAACAAAGTTCAGAGATCAAGCCTCTGTGGTGCCCTGCGAACTCTCTGAGGGTGTTGTCGCATTTTGACCATCGGACTAACTGTAGCTGGTTTAGCATCAGGAGGGTCAGGTACCGTAGGTGTGGAAACAGGAACCATCTTTGGTTGATCTTTTTTGGAACCTCCTGGAGCTGTGCTGCCCTCAGTGGTTGGACTGACTTCAACACTACAGTCGGCGTCAGTGCTTTCAACTGTGTGTCCAACTGCCGTTGGTCTCAACTGATCAATATGTCGGCGCCAGATCAGTCCCGGTGCCACCTGTACCTCATACATCAGCGGACCTGTTTTGTTAACAATCAGCCCTGGACGCCACTTCAGATCCCCTCGATAATCCCGTGACATAACTGAGTCACCAATCTCTAACTGGCGATACTGTTTACCCTTGTCAATCGCTGCCTTAATGCTCTGCTGGTGTTGTTGGTTAACCATCTTACGGTTTAAGTTAGGTTTCACCAAATCTAGGAGAGTACGCAATGGTCTTCCCAGGAGTAACTGTGCTGGGCTCTCACCGGTGGTGGAGTGTGGAGTGTTCCTGTAAGCTATGAGAAACTTCGCCAACTTCTCCCTCACTGGCTTGGGGCTTTGACGCATGGAACGCAAAGCCTGTTTGAAGGTCTGTACTGTCCTTTCCGCAAGACCATTCGTCGCTGGATGGTACGGTGCTGAAGTTATATGGCGGATGCCATTGGACTTGACAAATGTCTGGAATTCCTCCAAACAAACTGTGTACCATTGTCACTGACTATCTGTTCTGGAATTCCGAATCTGGCAAACAAATCGCGTAGAATTTCGATAGTCGAACTTGAAGAAGTTGACTTGACTGGAACCACTTCTGGCCACTTGGTGTGTGCGTCGACAACCACTAAGAACATCGAGTTCTGAAATGGCCCTGCGTAGTCGATGTGTATACGCTGCCATGGTGTAGTGGCCCACTCCCACGGATGTAGTGGTGTTTTAGCAGGCATCTTCTGATTTTGCTGACACCCGCTGCAGCCTTTCGCTAGCTCTTCCAGATGACCATTGATATTAGGCCACCATACGTAGCTCCTCGCGAGTGCTTTCATTTTGACCATGCCCAGATGCCCATCATGAAGTTCCTCTAACACTCTGCTTTGTAACTTATTGGGAACGACCACTCTCATTCCCCATAGGATGCAGCCTTGGTGAACTGTCAGTTCATTGCGTCGCTCGTAATAAGGCTTGTCTCCCTCCACACGAGTAGACCATCCTTTCACGATAGAATCATGTATCCTCGCTAGGACAACGTCACGACGTGTTTCTCTTGCCACTGCTTCACTGGTTATAGGTAATGGCACAAACTGAGAGGCGTGGAACACCTCTGTTGAATCCACCTCCAAGTCTTCTCGCTCTTTCTGCTGGAGAGGGAGCCGCGACAGTCCATCGGCATTGCAGTGTTTGGTTGTACTCTTATACTCAATGATATAGTCGAACCCAGACAAGAACAATGCATATCGCTGAAGCCTTGCAGCAGTCATGGCTGGAACTCCCTTTTCTGGGTGGAAGATGGCAGTGAGGGGCTTGTGGTCTGTAATGAGCGTAAATCGTCTCCCATAGAGGTAAACATGAAATCGTTTCACCCCCCACACAATGGACAATGCCTCCTTGTCTATCTGTGCATACCGTCGTTCAGTCTTGGTCAACGATCGGGACGCAAAAGCTACCGGCCTTTCGCTACCATCGGACATGACGTGTGAAAGAACCGCGCCGATGCCAGTTGGTGAAGCATCACATGCCAGCCTAACCGGTAATGCTGGGTCATAGTGCATTAGCACCTGCTCAGATGTAATCATACGCTTAGCCTCAGTGAACGCCGCTCGCACCGTTCAGTCCACTGCCATTCGTTGTTTTGCTCTAACAACTGGTGAAGTGGGTGGAGAACTGTAGACGCATTGGGCAAGAAACGGTTGTAATAGTTTACGAGCCCTAAAAATGAGCTTAAGCTGTGACACATTCTCAGGTCTTGGTGCACTGACCACTGTTTCAATCTTCTCTTGTGTCTTGTGTAGACCTTCCTTATCGATCTCATGCCCACAAAACTGAACTCTATCTTTGAAGAACTCGCACTTTTCCTTGTTAGCCTTCAGACCCGCAACTTGTAATCGCTTGAGTACACTCTCCAGGTTCTCCAAATGTTCTTCATCGGTTTTGCCTGTGACAATCATGTCATCAAGGATGCACTGGGTCCCAGGTATTCCCTGTAATACCTGGTCTATGGCACGCTGCCAAATGGCTGGAGACGCGAAGAGATGCCAAAGACTAAGCGATTGTATCGAAAAAAAAGGCCCTTGTGTGTATTAATCGTAAGGAGTTCCTTGGATCTTTCGGTTACTTCCATCTGGTGATAAGCTTGGCGAAGGTCAAGCTTGCTGAAATGTCTACCGCCAGCCAAATTTGCAAAAATATCCTCTATACGTGGCAGAGGGTACTGTTCTGCAAGAAGTACTGGGTTCACTGAGACCTTAAAATCGCCACAAACTCGTACTGATCCGTTTCGCTTGACTACCGGGACAATTGGGGTCGCCCATTCACTGTATTCTACTTTAGAGAGAATACCTTCCTTCTCGAAACGTGTCAATTCTGCTTCTACTTTGGGGCGGAGTGCGTATGGCACTTGGCGTGGTTTATGAAAGCTGGACTGGCAGCCTTCCTCGACCTTCAAATCCGCCTTGTAGCCTTTAAGTGTTCCCAGATTTTCGGAGAAAACAGACTCGTACTTCTGTAGTAGCTGATCCACTTTGCGTGCCATACCCCCTTCTGAAGTCTTGCTAAGCTTAAAGGTTTTGATTTCACCCCAGTTCAGTTGAATGTTGGACAGCCAGTCACGCCCAAACAGTGCTGGTCCCTGCGTCTCAACAACTTGTAGGTTTAACTCTTTTTCCTGGCCCTTGAACTTAACATTACATCTCATCTCTCCCTTAGGTGTGATTTTCTGCCCAGTGTATGTCTTAAGTGTCACAAGGCTCTTTGAAAGTTTGACATGATTAAAATGTTCCTTATATTGTTTGTATGGAAGTACAGACACCGCTGACCCTGTGTCTAGTTCCATCTTGACCACCTTTCCCTGTATTTCGGGGTTGACCCATATTACGTGATCCTTGTCACCCACATTATTAACCTCAAAGGATGCCAAATAATCATCGCTGTCCCCGTCATCGCTGTCTACATAATTTACTGGGGGTTGGGAAACTTGTGTCTCTTTTTTCTTTGATTTACAAGCCCTCACAATGTGACCAGTCTTGTTACAGTGGTGGCATTTTTCTTTCTTGAATGGACAACTTTTGTGATCATGAATTCCCAAACAGCGGTAGCAACTTTGATCACCCGTTCTCTTGGGGGAAAAAGAACCCTTTTTCTCTGAAAGCTTGGCTTCTCTCTTGAATTTAAGCTTCTTGCCTGGCTTTGATTTGGCTAATAGATCCCATCCTCGTCGCCAAAATTGTCATGTATTACTTAAGAACTACACACCCCAAACAACATGGCGGTTCGGCAAGTAAAAGACTGTTTAATGAAGCCTCATGCGTGCGCATGAGCAAACCATATATGGTAACACACAACATACAACACACTGGAAAACCATAACAGATGTAAAGGGTTAAGCAAAGAACAAGGTTTTAAAAGAACACAAAAAAAACTTTAATCCCTAGATACACAACCACTATTTTACTTAACTAACCTAACCTAACCTAAATAACAGGGACAACAGAATATAATTATACATACTACTACATACATAATACTAAGTATACTAATAGTGGAGCTTGCAGAGCATAGCCCCATAATATTATACAAAATAGTAGTAACCCATCAAGCTGAAAAAATTGGGATGTACGACCGTACAACCATACGACCATACAAGGTGCTACTTTTAACAAGTGTGGTCAACTGTACCGTGGGCATGCCAATGCCACGGCTCTGTCCAGTAGTCCAGTGGTCAGTGCAATGGGCTCCGGGTTGGATGACCCAGGTTCTAGTCTTGGCCGGGGCAAGGCGTTGTGTCCTTGAGACATGCTGTTAAAAAAAAATTGCGAGCTCTGCTTTTAGGCTTGGCTAAATCTATATAACATTGCATATTGGTTACATGAAATAATCTGGAGGAGGTTGTAAGAGATTGTGGTATACACTGTATTTCATTTTTATATTAATAATAAATCAGTATTTTGTATTATTGTTGAACAGGAAAAGCTTGTGCCTGGAATGTTCATTGAAGTCGTTGTGGAGTTTACACCTGATGATTGGAGATATTATTATGACTGTATTCGAATTCACACAAAGGTAACCATTTTGATTTCCATTCATATTCTTTAATGGCAGAGTTTTGGGTTAACAAATTTTAAATCCTTCCTACCAGTTTGATGTCCATTTCCTTCTCTTGTCTAGGGATATTCCTTTAATTGAAACTGGTTGACTGTTTAAAAGTACCCAGGAGGAATTTTGAACCATGTCATGAATGATACAGGTTTAGCTGCATTATATGACAGATTTTCTTGAGATTACTAATTTTCTCTCAACAGTCATGAAAAGATTTTGTGGTATTAACATTCTTTTTGGTGTCTGGTTTTTCAATTATGTTTGCTGGGCTTTTTGTTTTTATACCTGTAAACTGTAAGTAGTGGATTGTTTTGATCCAAAAAGGGCTCAAATATAAGAAAAAAAATTGTTAATTGACCCCTAACTCCCAGGATCTCATTAGTAATTCTCCTTGCTGTCTGTCAAATGATTCTCATTATGTTAGTTTGGAGAATTTGGCATTGGGTCAATTAGTATTATTCTATAATTGATATTTTTCTTTATTCTCATCACTTGTCTGCATGATATTGTATTGATATAGTAAGGAGAAATTCTGTCTTGGTCACTCACAGGAGTTAAAGGGTTAAAAAAATAATTTATAAAAAACTATATTACATGTGTGTTACAGTTAAGTTTTTTAATGGTTAACAATTTTAATTTGAAAAGGTCTGAAACGTTTAATACAAATCTGAACCTATCTGTAGGATAAAATTGAATCACAAGACATACATTGTATATATATTTTTTCCAATTTTCAGGCAGAGGAAAATCTTATTGTTCCTATTCATGCATATCCTGTGATGAACACTGATGAGTTTCCTAGAGAAGTTCACTTTCCATCTGTACCACTTGGAGAAAAGTGAGTAAAGTACATGTAGCTGATTTAAGTTAAATTCTTTTTACTAAAAGAGTGAACAAAATCCTATGCATTCCCAAAGCTGTTTCAACTTTTAGTAAAAGTTTTACTTATAAAGTGTTATTTTTATGTTATTTTCTCATGATACATGGGATTCTCTTTCCTTCATTACAGAATAACAAAAGTAATTCCTCTGAAGTGTGACATCCCGGTGGAATTTGAGTTCACCCTGAGTTATGTTCAGTTACACCCAGCATTTACTGTGGAACCAATGTCAGGTAAACTTTGTTGAAATCACCAAGTAATAATTAGATTATTGATGATAAAATGTAACAGGATTGTACTAGCTAGGAAACATATTTGCAATCAGGTGTGATTTCCATTTTATGTTTGTTATTCATCTGTAAAAAAATTTTTGCTCATGTCAGTATGTTTAAGGAGATGTACATGTATGCAATAAAAGCCACTCTTCTTGTCTTGGTAATCTGTTTCACCTGTTATAACCTAAATTAAAAGGCACTGACTTGAAACAGTACTGTACCAGCTTTTGGTGAACCATACATAGTGGTTCTTGCCACTTGATGACTGTTTGGTGGTGTTACTCAGTTATTTCCAGAATCAGAATTTTAATTTTCTATACAAGGACTAAAAATTTATTAAGTCGTTAATTCTCATGTATACCTTTGAATAGCAAAGGAAGGATTGGTTTGTGGAGCAAACTTCTCCTTTGCGTTGATTCTTACTTGTTCTGGAAAGGTAAGGGTAATTGCATGATTAAATGTGGAGGGAATTCATGCTTGTATTTCATGAGGAGGTACTCACAAAAAGTAAAATTTTTACTTTCTTTCAAATTTTTAACTTAAACATGGCAAATGACCAACATGATAAGTAAAATTTAGATTTGTCATCAGATGCAGGGAGGGTATACATACAATATTATGGTTCAAATGAAAGCCTATTTGGGCACTTGGAAAAATTTTACAGTTGAATAAACCTGTCTTTTAGGAATTGTGCCTGGTAATGGTGAGGTAGAGATTAAAGTGACATTTGCACCCATGGACTTCTCAACAGCTCACATGAAGCTTCAGGTAAATCAGTAAAACATATACCCAGATGCGCAGAACATGGTGTTTTTTTATAATTATTAAAAATTGATTTTAAGTTCAAGTAATACAGTGTAGGATCAAATGAAATGCTCTCATTCAATTAATGATCATCAGAATTGGAATTTCTCAGGGGGTGCATGCACACTCTATCTTGAACTCTGGCTGTTTTCAAACTTGGAACTGCTAGATTTCCTCATATTTTAGAGAAAGATGTCAGTAGACCTAAAGAAAATTCAGCCTCTTTGTGTTGTAGAGCTTCTCTGTGTTAAATGGAATTTTAATTGTAAATCTTTCTTGGCTTTTAGCTGAAGGTGTCTCAATTCAACATGTCTCCACTTGTCTGTTCCTTCACTGGAACATCGGAGCCAGGACTTGCAAAAAGGTAATGCTAGTATCAAAAAAATACTGCAGCAATGGATTCCCTGTCAAGAGATTATCTCTTGTACATGTAACTTTTCCTCTTATAGGCACTATTTTTAGTTGTGGTTTGTAGTTTTTTTGGCTTTCTCCTCAGAGGCTCTCCAGCTTATTACCCATCGTTACACATAAACTTAGTGAATCTTTGGATTGTAGAGAGGTCCTGTAACCCTTTCCACACCCAGGATTGATCAAATACAATTTTTTAAGCATAAAGGCAAAGAGAAGTAAGAAAAATGTCAAATACAGTAAGAGAAATTGTTTGATTTCACAACAGATTCTCAGAGCTAAGATTCTGAGAAATGCATTACAGACATTGCACTGAATTGATAATTAGATCTTGAGAAGTGTTAAGGGCTATGACTCATTTCAGAATTTCCGTGTGCTGTGCTTGTCATGAAACAGGTTGAAAGTAAAAGCATGGACAGAAGAACTACCCCCATTACCCACCAATGGAATCCTGGACCCATTGCTGATTGATCCTCTCGGCAGAACAAGACTGAAGAAACTTAAGACCAGACCATGGACTCCAGGAGAGAAGAAAACCCAGGTAGGTGCTGGAAATCAAGAAAATAGCCACCTACATTGTGTGAAAAATTCTTGCAGTTCAAAAATGTTTGGAAATTTTGTAGGTCAATTTCTGGGAAGTAGGATAAGGGGTTTGAAGTAATTTTTTTTTCAGTGAGGGGTGGCAGTGTTGGGTAGAAGGTGTTCCTTTTTCTCTTTTAAGGCAGGCATAGCTTTAAAAGGTAAAAGGAAGGTGTATGTCAGGCATTGAAGAGTTTCAATGTGTGAATTCCAAATGAGTACATGTGTTGAAAGCAGAGCTTGGTCACCGTATTTCTGCTTCCAACTTTGAATGAATGTTTGCAGTCTGCCAGGAGCATGCAACAGATGTGTAGGAAAAAAACATTCTAGAAGAAAATGTCTTTAGAGCTCTCAATATTTACATGTATTTGATTTATCTTCTGAAGAAACTTATGTAGAGAAAATAATGTTATGAAAGTATTCAATGAACATGGTTTTTCCATATTATTTTTTTGGTTTTGTACAGGAACTGGTCAGAGATGGCTTGAGATTTCCAACTACTGGTCTTGACAATCCATCCACTGTGTCCAGTATCCTACTACAACAACCTGGAAAACTGAAGGCCAAGCAGATAAGAGAGGGTGGGTGACTTGATGTAAATCAAACCAACGGATCATGTATGAACAAATGTAGTATGGGTTTGATTACTCCCAGGTAATTCTGTCGATGTTTTTTTCTCCTTTTCAAGCTGTTCAAAGTAAGAAAGATGTTTCAGGGAGCACAAAACAGATGAAAGTAAGTTGAGTTAAAATTGTAGTGTTAGAGCAAATCATGTAAAAAAATTCTTTACAAACTTCCATAACTTAGTCTGTTCTGCAGGCGAAGTCGACAGCATTAATTGCTGTCACTCAGTTGTATATGGTTTACGAATTTTTACATCATTTGCCTATGCACAGGAAACAAAGTTTGAGTACGAAGTTCATCAGAATATTCAAGAGGAACGACAGAACCAGCTCAGATGGTATGTACATTCAGAACATACAAGTATGAATCTTGTAGAAAAGTCCTTTGTAAACCTTACAGCCATGTGCGAAGGCTAATATCATGGAATCTCTCTTCGTATTGTGGGAAAAAAAATGGATGTATTTCACTCTCATTTTCTTTAATGTTGTGCTGAGTTAACAACGATGATGCCATTTTAAAGGTGAATCCTTACCTGGAGGATATACTTTGCATCAGAAAATTTAGAACACTCTGTTTGTTTCCCTCAAGGTGTGTACGATTAGGTGAAGATCCCATATCAGAGGCAACAAGAAAACAGATTTGTGAAACAAGGATAGAAGATGAAAGAGAGTACAAGGTATTTGTAACGGTGGTCTGTTACTAGAAATTATTTTTCGCTTTCATTGTGGTCCAGGAGATGTCTTCGGAGCGAACAGTAGCACTAGAAATGGAGTACTTCCCATTCTCTCACTGATGATTTACGAAGTATATTATATTTTACAGTTCGATAAAGGTTCAACAAACAAAGATTCAATTGTAGAAACAAATAATTCAGACCCTCGACCTTCTCTTGCACTCACATCAAACGAGGTGATATGATGAGATCTTGCACTGGACCGCTTTTCCCCGAGGAAAGCTCATGTTCTTTCTGGGTCCAAAACCATGGTTAAAATCCAAATCTGAAAAAGAGTAGTACGAGTCTTAGCTCAAAAATCAGACGATACTGTTTCGTTTCATTAGATTAAATTTTTCACATTTCGAAGCCATCTAGACCTAGATCTTGATTGTAAGCCATGGTAATCAAAAGTCAGCTCTTTAGGAGCAGTAGCCACCGGGAGTTTTGAGAAGCGCCTCTCAGTTCTGCAAATGGTTGTAGGAAATGGCTTGTATTGGTCCAAGATACGGTTAGTATTAGGAGTACTTATAGTTTCGAGGAATCACCCCTTCCCCCTCCTCTTTGGTAGTTTGCGTGACTTCACGTTGACATTTTCCGTTTATAAATTTATCAAAGCTGAATCGAGGAGACCCAGTGATTGAAGAAGAGTATGACCGGTCTTGTGTTGGATGTGAACTGAGAAGAATCCACAGACAAGCGGATGAAGTATGTATCACTTTTTGGGGAATGTACATGTTACTTTAACTTTTGTCCTCTGGCGAACTGTTTTGCTTGCTTTCCTATATTTGATGGGGTTAGTTTTTAGCTAGTACTAGGCACTTGGTCATAGGATACGGCCGAACTAACGACGTTTGTTTGGGAAGGAAAAAAGGAGAGCTTTTAAAAGCATTGTTCACAATTGCTTAGAATGGGGTATTTTTTCACACTGTGATGCTTAGTGGTTACCTTAGATTTATCTTCGTCATGGTGCAAAGCACTATAATCTTGGTGCGCTGAAGTGTTATTTTCTTTATTGTCGTGTAAGCTTTAACATTTGCTGTCCAGATGAACATGGTTGGAAATGTTACTCTTCTACTCTCAGATCCCTCAAAATGAACCTCGATTTGATCTTCTTGTTAATGACGAGTGGAGCAAGAGGCACATGGTTGTACAGAAGTTTGTTCAAGCGGGACGAAAGGTAATCATCAGTGTACGCTTTATTTGTATAACTGATTGGCCTGTTTCAGGCGTTTAGTTAGTAAAACGAAGCGCGTTGGTGAACAGCACTACAACAGCGGAGGAGTGGAAACGAGGGACCCTCTCGCTTTTTCACTGCACTCCTCCGCTATTGTCGCGCCGTTTGCTTTTCGCTCTGTTGTAGTAACTGAGCACCTGCAACAGGCTAGTAATCGGTGAACTCTTAGGAAACATTTATGTATAATAATGAGATGTTGGCGCAGTATTGTGATTGAACCTTTTGGAATTCCTTTGAAGCCCTGTATTTTCTCAGGCCTTTTTTCCAGCAGTTACTTTAAGTGAAGTGTCACTGGGAAAGAGTTTTCTTCGCTTAGAAGTAGCTTTGAATTAAGTTAAATGATGTGATCTTCAGAGCGTGTTCTCGTCTTTATACCTCTGATGTAACCAAGTTAATGTGTCCCCACGGATGCAATGTGCCGTGATGATAATTTTTCTCTTTTTGCTGCCACACGCTGCGCGCGATTTATCTTAATTCTCGCGCGCGCTCGAGCTTTATTTATCATTATGACGTCATACTTGTGGCGTACTCATGTGGTTGATGTTTGCCCCATTTAGTTTCACATTTGCGAATTTCTTCTCAGTAATTCCTTTAACTGTGCTCTGCTTTTTTTTTCTAGGTCATAGTACGACTAAGAGCCAGTAGACACTTAAGTTCCCTGGAAGAATTTGTCACAGACTGGAGAAAGGGAAAATTCACCCGAGAACACACAAGTAAGGAAAACCTCTCAGCTAAATTTTTCTCCTGTAGTCATGCGACACATGTAGTCACGGCAGAAGTTCTTTCATTAATAATTTTCCGTACTGAGCCCTCTCAGGTGAAGTAATTATTAACAAAAAATGGCAGAAAGATAAAGCCACAAAGAAATGCAGACTCTTGACGGTTTCGAACCTGTGCTTCCCACTTCTAGTTGGCGCTACTTCTAAATGAATTGAAATTGCAGAGTCATAATTTTATTTTCTATGCGTGCGAACAGGCTGCAAGTGCTCACGGGTAAAATTCCTAAAACTGTTTTTATTTCCTTTCATTGCATCTTAGGAAGTCAACTTGCAGAGAGTGAAGAAGAAAAGCTGTTCGATGAAGTTGAGGTTCCTCTGCGGATCTCATCTGAAGGCATTTTTCCGTTTTGCTTTCCTTCATATAAATCTCCGGACACAAAAGATGATATGGTACACATGCTTAATATTTCTGGATCTGACCTTGCCCTTGATAGCCGCAGCTTAAGGGTTTTAGTTATGTTTGCAGGCCGTATGGGGGGGGGGGTATTTTAGGCTTATCATTACGGTGACGGTGTGCTTAGATAGTCACTGTCAGTCAAATATGATTTCAGGAAAGTAATAAAAGGGATAAGACACCCCGATGGCTCCTCCCGCCGGAATTTTGCCGGTTTTTAAAAGCATAATAGACCAAAAGTATCGTTTCTCCACTCTGGACGGGGTTCTTGTCGATCTTTAGTAGTTCCCGCCCCTGCCTCCCTTTCGTGGTTCACCAGCACCCATTATGCTCTTGGACCGGGTTGTTCAAAGCTGAGGCAAGATAATTCAGGGTTAGTGTGAAATCTGATTTCCGGTCTGAAAGCTTTGAAAGAAAATTCAACACGATTCTGTTTGTCTACATTCTAATGATTAGTATGCTTTAGAAAGAAAATGGAAAATTATTACAATAAAGGCTTTTGAACAAAGGAATAATGAAAGCAGGATTGACATTGACCCTGGGTTTTCGCTTATTGGTCTTCGAAAAACTGGGCCCTGGGTGGAAAGAGGCGCTTCGAGGATAAAGTTTCGTGATGCTGATAGGTACCCGCCCCCAGTTCTCCGCCCGTGCTCAAACCAGGACCTCTCGTACTAACCACAAAGCCACGGTGTCTTTACAAATGAATGGATAAATGGTTTAGTAAAAGTTTCTTTTATTCCCTCAGGATGTTGATGCTCTTGGTACACTGAATGTGCAAGCGACTTTTGTCAATGTCAAAACACACGTGCCTTATTACAACTTAAAGGTACGTTTCTTAGCTGTTTTTGTCTATCTACAGTTTCTAATAACACTGTTAAAAATGAAATATTATAAACAGTTATTGAATGAGGGTTTTGTGATATCCAGAATAATCAAGGTCGAGGTAGGGGTTATCAGCCGAAGCCGAAGGCTTAAAACCCTTGCCTTTTGGTTTTCAATCTGATTGGTTCGACTGCGAGTTTTTAGACCAATTACAGAGCGAAATTGCTATTCTCTGTACGTTTAATAAGGTGCTGACAAGGAGAATTTGTCTAACAATCAAGAGTTTCTTTAATTGGTGATTATTCCCCTTTGTTCTCATGACATCAATGTGTGATTCAGTGGTGATATTCTAAGATGTTAGTTACTCTTAAGGGTTAAAGGGAGGGAGTTCTCTCTGTGGATCTGTCTGTTGTGTATTGTCTAAAGCATAATTTGTCTCTAGGTCCCCAAACAGTGCGACATCCTGGGTTATAACCGTCACTCCGTAGCCGACGCGTCCTCAGGGTATGTCCCGCCAAAGCTCGTACGTCCCTTGAGGGTTGGCGCCGAGGTAACGTCAAGTTTGTTTTGCACGGTTATTTTTTTACTTACGTACAATAAGTTTATATCAAGATAATCCAACATTTTACTCGATGTAAATACTTACTTTGAAACGTGTTTCGTACATGCGTGCAGATACAGCGTACAGTACCTTACTGAGTACCTTACTCAGTTAGTAGAACTTTGCTCGTAGAGGTCATGGGTTCAAATCAATATAATATTACTGTATTATCTTGTTTCAAATCCCTTACAGGCCTGAATTTTTTTCAGGCCTTATTGTCACTACTGATTAAGTAGTGTTCAATACTGCGACGATCGCTTTCATATTCAAATGCTGTGGGAGTTGTATGTGTATCGCATGTAGTTTCTATAGTTGTTTAATTTTTTAAGTCAAATATATTTGTATACACCTAGCATCTCTTGGTTCAAATGTGGTTTCTAGCCATGAGATTGCAGTGGATAGAGCTGGTTGATCCATTGATTGGAACTTGATTCCTCATCATAATTCGTTGTAACTGCATTGAAGCGATTCTTATGAGTTTTTCCTATTCTTTTCCATCTATCCTACCGCCATGTCCTTTCGTTTGTAAACTTGTTTTCTGTAGGATGAAATAATAAACTTGGTCAGCAGTGTACCGCTTACGTCGGTTAGAAGTCCCAGTCCCGTCCCGACCACGGAAGGAGGCGAGGAAACTAAAGAAGAGGGCGAAGAAGACAAAACACAGAATCCACAAGTAAAGAGCCCCATTATCACAACCCCACAAGAGGACGTAGCCGTGCAGGAGCCTGAGGCGGTGCCCCTCGTGGTGCCTGCTACGTTGTTCAGACCCACATCTTACCATCCCATGCATATTTTTGTAAGTTACAGAAGATTTTCACCACTTTACTCCCGCGAATGTTTAATAATAAATTCCTCCTTGCAATTACTCTAGTAGACTGTCAGACGGATCGGTTGTGAGAATTAGGAAAATCAGCAGTTGCTGTATTTTGTTTTTGTAATGAATAGTGACCATAAGGTCATTTCTCCTTGCCAAGTCAATACACTGTCAATCAGACTGCTGATGAGAACTATCGACGATGAAAGGGTGTCTTGATCTCCACCAAATTCTTCGCACTCATCATTAAGTAAATGTGTGAGCATCAGTTGAGAGAATTAGGTTTTTAATCTTTAGAGCGAGGGGGGCCCCGCCAATTCCAAAGGGCAAAACGTGAGTTGGTTTTCATCGGCTTATTTTATTTAGTGAAAGTATTTGCGTTTGCTACGAATGGGATGTTTTTACCCATTTTTTTCTCGTTTTTGTACTGAAAAGATTTAAGGGAAGTAGAGATATTCTATCCCCTTGAGATTCATAAGGCGTTAATCGATGTTCTGCGAACTCGGCCTTGTTTCATGCATGGCTCATAACCAATGATTTTTTCCTACAGAACCCCGCACCAGGTTTGCAAGTGTTTAAGCCTCCGCTTCCTTACTCCGAAGTGGATGAAGACTATCATTTGTGTCCGTTACCACGTAACAGAACTGCTGGAAAATCAGGGAAACAAGGCAGGAAATACCTGGAGAGACAGGTGAACACCAATTGATACTTGATCTGTGGGTATTACGACTGAAAAAGCGAGCTGGGACCGCTTTGCTTCTGCTTTACTTCTCTCTTTGATTGGTCGTGCACTGCCCTCACAGCCAATTAGACGCAAAGCGAAAGCAAAACGCGACTTGGCCACTCGCGTTTTCCCGCGCTTTTGGTCAGTTTGTGTAGTTAAATAGCGCTGGGTTTTCATTGACTCCTTGGTTTTTTATCTCTGTTGTAATAGGTCAGTTCAGTTATAATTTTAGTTTTGATTTTACGAAACTTAATCGAGAAACTGCTTTAAGAAGCCTTTTTCAATCGTAATACTCGGCCATCAAATACTGAAGAAAGTGAGTTGAGGGCATTTTCTATCTGTATGGAAAAACTTAGAAGTGTTTTGTCAAAAACTGCGAGATGGATTAAGCATTATTCTTCCAAGAGCCACGTTTGTACAATTTGCAACATAAAACTTGCCATTCAGAAACCTCGTATTTTACCTTTGAGTGTGGTGCGAGAAGAACAGTACAAATTGCAGATGAGAGTGATCATCGCAGTTATGAAGAATGTTTAAGTACCAGGGGAGGTAGAAATTAATGTTTCCGCAGTTTTTTCTCTTGCTCTCCGAAAAAATATCTGTCGTTAATAGCTATGCCACTTGATTTTCCACCCTTCCCACGAAATGGTAGAGAGATCTGTGTTTTCTTTTCTACCTCTCTTTCAATCCTTTACAATTCCATTGTACGGAAAGGAGAGAAAGCGAAAATGGAAAGAAACCCAAATCATCTACTGGTGGCTGTCATCTACTTTGATTACAGCCACTAGATAAAGTTTATGTTTCATTAACCTGAACAAAAACTCAAAACTGAGGTTTGTCATTTGTTTCACGGAAGTGATCTACGCAAATCCGCTTTCTGCTCACAATGGGTCCTACTTTTATGGCAGGTTTAGTTTGCTTTTAGATACCTTAGATTCACTTGACTAACTGTAGATTAAATTTGGAAGAAAATGACGCAGTTTTTCGTCAGAAATTAAGTCCCGAAATGTTTGTCTCCTTGTATCCTTTTTAGGATGTTATTCCTGGTGTTATGACGTGGAAGCGGTTTCCTTGTCAGCCTCTGGTATCCATGGCAGCAAATCCAACGATATCAAATGTGTGGATTCCTCGATGGTGAGTCGATCAGTGAAGAGTTAAATTCTTTGACGGCACTTTTCAATAACGTGTCATTTCGAAAATCATGTGGTTGAATTATTTGACAGCACTTTGCAGTAATGTGTCATTTATGAATTTGGAGATAGATAGGAAAAATCGTTTTACTATATCGAAAGTAATGTGGTTAACCTTTCGGGAAACAAGTGCAATGGTTCTTACTGTATAGAAGGTCATGTCCAGCGTTGTGGCTGAATGAGTTTGACCCTTGATGTTTTTGCCCTATATAACTGTTATGATGATTTTTGGTAACGTGGAGCGAAATCACAAGGTTGGGTCCATTCAAGCCTCAAAGATCGCATGTTGTTATCCAACTGTACGAAGCAGAGTACAAATAACGGGCGAGTAGAGTACACATATCCTGCGATATTATACGGTTTTTTGGACTGTTGGTTATTTTGTACTGTAAAAAAACCTGTTTAACCAGTCTGCTGCGCGCGCTACCTTTCTCTATACGCTTTGCTTTTCCCACCTTATGAGAAGTGAGCAAAAAGACCTAGCAGGAAAAGAAGCCGTAAGACAATAAATAAGTTATCAGACGTTTTGGTGAGTAGTATCGCTAAGTATTTTTACTCGTTGTTTGTATTTTGACTCACCCTACGGGCTCATCAAAATACGGGACAACTCGTAAACACACCAAAACGTCTAATGAGATATATATTCATTGAGAGGCGCGGTAAGAAAACAAATATAGTTTCTCCTTTTGCTAAAACTTGCGTACACCCTTTTCCGACCTAAGGACTGACCCATTCAGTGAGGACCTGCTGCCTACGGAAGTGCCTTCATTACTACAAGGTCTCCCGGATGATGACGTCATGAGTGATGACGAAGCGTAAGTTACGCAAATTTAAGCAAAGAAGATAAATAATGTATGAATACATGTATGCATCGATACGAAATCATGCGAGCGGTTTCAAGAGTAACAGAATTGATAGAAAATTAAGATATTCACATTACTAAGGAAAATATGATCAACTCTGCGCAAAATTTTCAACTGATAATAGAAGTAATTCTAGTTTGCGTTGGTTTTGCTTTTTCTTCCGCTCTATTATTGGTGTATAAAACTTTGCTCGTGTAACTCTCGCAGCCAATCAGATGCAAGACTTAAAACAAGCGCGAACTGGGCACGCACACTTTCCCGCGCTTTAAACAGTTTGCTCTTATTAGGTGGCTCTTTTAATTCCTGCCTCCTGGACAATTTATTTTCCAGTTTTACAGGAACTATGCCTGCAATCACGTGTTTGCACAAAATTCCTCTTGAAGTCAACATTCTAGGACACTTCTCCCACACTATGTTCGCGTGCAAAATCTTAAACTCCTAGTTTATTCTACAGCGTCCTGTTACTGGACGCGGTGAAGAGTAAAAGTTTTAAACATTCTTTACTAAGAGAAAATATCAAAGGTTTATATTTTGTAGGGTGGGAGATTTCTGTATAACTAATCATCCTGATTAAAGTTCCCCCAAGAAAGGGCTCCAGAACTAAAATAAAATTCGCGTTTGATGAGGACACCTTTAGTAACAGTGCCTTCACAAATTACATTCTGATATCTTTTTGCCACTATCTGTTGTTTCAGGGAAGAAGAAGGAGCAGACCCAGGCTTCCAGGAGATCCCAATCCCCACGCCAGAGATGGTTTGTGCCCAGTTTCCCTCGGCAGAGAGTATTCTTGGAGACCAAGATCAACAGGGGTCGTCGCAATTAAGGTAGCTCTCGACGTCTTCCGTGATTTATAATAATGTTACGTGTACTTTAGTTTTTCAGCTTTGTTATCTACAGTAAAGGGGTGGTTATACTTAGTCTGACTTGATGGTATGTGTCTGTATCTTTATAGTGAGATGGTGCTTCACCCAGGCGGAAACACGAGAACCTTAGTGGCTGCTCCAACAGCAGCCACCACATCCTTCGTTCCAAGGTACTGATGACCTCCCTAGTGTATTACATTTTGTTTTAGGGGAGCTTACGATTCATAGAAAATAGCCGGTTCAGCTGGTCCATTCACAAAGAGAATGCTGGAGAAATTATTGACTGCCTCTGTTTGTTTTGCGTTCTTTTACAGGGAGAAACGTGAAAAAGAATTAAACGAATTTTTGAGACAGCGGCAGAACAGAGTGGGATTTAGAATCAAACAAAGGATACAGTCCATAAATGATGCCATGTCTTCGTCCAATCTGGAACTAAAATAGAATTTGATAAATTTGAAATTAGGAAACGGATGTTGCTGATTACTTGTTTTAGTTAAAGTGCGAAAGATTTCACTTGTCTTTTTCCGATATTTGACCGTCTTTGCCCATTTCAGTGAGCCGTGTAAAAATTTGTCTCTTTGGTTTGAGTTGTATATACATCAAGTGTGAATGTTATAAATTTGTTGATACGAATGGTGGTTCATTCCCAAACGTAAACAGAACATTTTGTAATAAAAGTGTCGTAAACCGACTTTGTTTGAGTCCTTAACCTGTGAGATACCAAACGTGCTTAAGTATTGCGTGATTTAGATCGTAACTAGATAATTGTGTTTATACACGTTCCGCTAACAAATGAAAGCTTAGACATCACTATCCACGCTGCTAGCGCGAAAGCACGTAACACGCGTGATGTCTCGCGCGTACGCCCCTCTCTTCTTCGGTTACACAGTCTCTATTGCCACGTGATTACGTATTACGAAGACAAACAAGTTAAATCATTCCCTTGGCAGAAACAAAATGATTTGTCCACGGACGCAAAACAATGGAGCAAGGTGAGCTTTTTATAGTGAAGCCAGCGTTAGTTGTGTTGTGTCTGGTACAGAAAGGGACGATAACTTTGCCCGGTTAAGAATTACGCAGCTTGGTTTTTAGCGGAACTTGAATCGCCTTTCACTTTCCATTGTTTATTTATACTGTGAGTGCGAGCGTTTCCGTATGGAAATCAGACACTGCATTTTGCATCGAAATTCTGACATGTACATGGACCGTTTGCACTAGAAAGGGTATTTTCCGAGAGCAAACACACATTTTTATTACGATTTGTTCCTCTTTTCTGTTACGCCATGCGAAATTACGATCTTTCACTGATCGCAACTCACTCGCCGATGCTTACGATTCATATTAGAGAATTCGATGCACTCGTTATCAGTTCAGTCAAATTAGGGGGTAATGATGCATTATTTGAAGGAAATTTTAATTATTGATGGATTCTGCACAGAGAATCCGTGAAACTGCAAAAGCACAAGTTAATTTTGTTGTCAAACATTACGTATCTCAGTTTCACAGACATTTGATACCCTGTGCTAATCTTTAAGAAGGGGTTTTTCCCTTCGTCGCCTGAATCAAATTAGCATTTTGTATAATATTGTGTTGAACAATGCTGTCGGATTGGCATGCAGAGGGGGCAAAAAAATTTATTGAATCGTAAGAAATGACAATTGACTGCGACCTGATGAATTTTTAAAATCATCTGATGCGCAATTTCGTGACTTCGATGCAAGATAGCCCACGTGTAGAGAACGGCTACACGTAGGCTAGATGCAACCGCTCTCTATTAAGCAGGAAATGAGCATCTGGATTTTTCTTGCGAAAATATTCTCTTACATACAGGTTGAATACACCTCTATGATTGACGATGATCGATTTCTTACACTAGCTGTGATTTTAGCTTGATTCCAGTAATCGAGGGAAATGTGTTGTAAAGACAGTGATTTGTAATCTTTGAGTCCTTAAATCCACTTTTTGGGCAGTTGATTCACTGAGGTTCACTGCCTTAAGGTTTTTGCGTTGTCTCGCATGATTTGGTCGGTTTTGATACGGTCGACTCGCCCCTCATCATAAATGCACGACCTATACAAACTCAAGGAGATTTAATTTGTACGTCACGCGGCCTCAAACCCGTAGGGTTCACCTTTGTTTTACCCAATATTAAATTCGCCACATATTTTTTTCAATCAATAGCTAAACATCATGTTTTTCAGCATTAGAAAGTGGTTTCGTTGAAATTACAAGATTATATGACAGGCCCCCAAATTATTAAGATGTGTTTTCCAAATTGTTCTTCTTAGAAGTAAGCTGTATAAATCCTAGCAGTATTATTATCACAACAGTCCCAGTCATCGCCAGTCATCATTGTTAAATTTCATCGTCATCGCTTTTGTGATAAAGCAATACAACTGTATGAGAAACTCAACTTTATTTAAAAACTGTTCCAAATACAAAGGCGGTCATCGAGAGCAAAATTATGTAAAGGTGATCTTCCACGCGCGTGCTGGTGACGTAAGCAAAGTAAAAAGACCGCTGACCAGAAGTAACCTTCTGAATAACATCTAGTGAATAAATACAAACGAAGTTATTCTTAATGTCTATTATACTGTTTACATCATTCCACAGTTATCGTTTTTTCATCATCATTATTGTTATAGTTATGTCAATAAAAATTATCACTAGCATTGACGAGGGGGGGTAAAGAGGGAAGGGGTGGGGGAGGAGAGGGGGATTTAACATATCGCCAACGCAGCAGGAAATTGGTGTTACAAAATACTCCAACTCGTAATTTTTTCAAAAATCGTTTCATCGGGACCACACTTGGCGAACCAATGTGTTACCATGGTAACAGCTCTGGCTTCTGTGCATGTGTGCAATAGCGGACCTACTACTAAACTACTTGTCCTCTGGTTAGATATTTTAAAGATTACTAACCCAAAGCCTGTGACAAAGTTATACGGGAATTACAAAGCCAAATGCAACCAAACTATGCTAACTTTGAGCAAATTTTAATTTTGAATTTATAATGTAGTCTTTAAAGATTCTGCTTTTCGTACGCTGGAGCTAGTCCGTGGTTCTCAACATTTTTCTGAAACAACCCCGACAGTTTGGATACAAGGAGATACTTGGCCATCGTTTGGTGAAATTGTGACAAGATATCCTCTGTGTGGTGCTTCTAAACTGCGCGTGTTTGTGGATTGTTTCGAGGGAAAATCGAATTTGACCTATGGATTGATCTCTCCGCAAAGCAGGTATGAATCAAGCCCCAATCCACACTATTCTCGTGAACACATTGCATAAAAAGTAGTTAGGGGCGGATCTAGGGCAGGGGCGCTCCCCCACCCCGTCAGTTACGTCATATTGGTGCACCTAGAAAAATACGGGATCCACTCCTAGCATTACCATTTTTCTGGGTTTGTTCAATGCGTTGTCACAAAACAAAGCTTATTTGCTTGTGATGTTTGATGGCAATCCTTGGATTTGAAGAATTCCTTTAAAAGGTAAAGGTCAAGGGATGAGGTGCGTGAGGCAATGCCGGCCTCAAATTATTTTTAATTTTCCAAACATTTGCGAACTGTTTTGTGTACGTGTTATGCCACGCAGAAAGAGCTGAAATAGCGCTCTTTTGTCTAATTTATTTCACAACAAGCTTTTGATGTTATTTTATACATTTTGAAAGGTGCTTTGCTAACGTCTGAGTTTATAATTTGAATGCGCTTTGTTGGAGTAGAATTTCCTTATAATTCTTTAGGAAACTGCAGATTTTGGGTGTTCAGAATGGAGAACATCTTCGACTGACTGGAAAACTGTGGTAATTATCACGTCCACTTATATTAGCTAAGGTTGCCCTGCACCCTTATCCGTTTCCTTTTAACAAAGCGGGGGAAGCTTGGGCCGAGCGATGGACCATGAAGGAGGTATGGGGTGAAAGTGAGTAATGAAGAGATAGGCACAGGCGTTGCGATGAATTCAGACAATCGAACAATCGCCTTTTTCCAACGAACGAAAGGTAGGTCCGTCAATCGAAGCCTTGATGGAAACAGATCGATCAGGTACCGCCCTAGAGATAAGATCAAATTAAGTAAAATGAGGTCAGAGGATCGTTTTCCCGGGAAATTTCACTCGGCTCGTTAGTCAAAACAAAGTTACAGCGGTTTAAGTTTTTTGGCTCCATGAGAAGTCAGTTAAATTCGAACAATGTTGAAAAGAAATATTGAAATTACATCTAACGTACTGTATGTGTCAATCAACTACATTGTCTGGGATCGTCAGAAACCATTTTAACTATCAGATTCACGATTGATCGTTATTAAGGACCCCTTCAACAGCGCTTTTAAAGTTGGACTGGACTGGCGGTACGAGTACAGAAATTTTTGCTAACTCTAAGCATAAAGTGATTTCCTTCCTCCACTCGATAGCATTTTTTACCAAATAAGGAAACTTGTACCTTTTTTCGTTTTTCTTCCAGTGTATTCATCTCTCACAGATGAATTTACGAAATCATTGAAAGATCATATTGTGAATTCATCTAATGACTTTTCATTTTCTTATCTTCAGGGGATGGAGCAGCCAACAGAAGCAAATCTTTAAGAAAACATTCGACTCTAAGACAAGTTTTGCTGCTTCTTCGCAAATAACACATTTCTACAACAGAGACATCAGAAACGGAAGTGTCTTGTGCATTTACCGTGACTTAAAGAGCAACCGCGTCCACTTTGATATCAATGGAGAGGAAGGATGGGTCAGTTTTAGCCGAAGTGAACCAGACTTCTGGTATGGTTACATTCGCTTGAGTTCCACCGGAAGCGGAAGTAAAATTCAAGTCACACTGGTTCCGGAAGAAGATCTAGGTAAAGGCCACGTGATCATACTCTTATGAAGAAGTGCTGGGTAACCAAAGACATCTCAGACTTCCTCTATCTCCTTGTCAGCGGATGTTAGAGGAAAATATTTTTACCCACGAAAAATAACTTTCAACAACGTTAAAAATTATTAGGGGGGGTAGAAAGGGTTAGATAAACTTTTTTTAATGAGTAATGTTGTGGAGTAGGATTATTTCTTCAGTTTTTATGTTAAAAAAGTGGGAAATTTCAAGCAATAGAAACTTGAATAGCAACTAGTGTTACAACGTGTTTTAACCAAAACCAAAAAAAAAAAAAAAAAAAAAAAAAAAAAGAAAGAAAAAAAAAAAAAGAAATAATACGAACTATAAGGCAAAGCATTCTAAATAAGTATTGGAGCCCGGAAAATGAACAACAACCATATATCCAACAAACGAAAAAGAACCTCAGTCCGAAAGAAATACTAACCTGGTTTTTTAGGACCGTGTTCTTTTCATGTTTTCTAGCTTACTTTGATCCAAGACTTCCAATCCCTATAACACCAGTACAGCAAGAGCCAACAGATGTGGAAGACACTGGAAATTCAGCTCTAGGTTGCCTCCCCGTGGAGAGAATAGCGCAAGCAATGCATGCAGGTAAACAAGAGTACTTATAGGTCAGCTGCCATTTACTCAGCTCTGTTTGGTACACTTGTCCCACGGATTTGTTTCCATTTTGCAACAGTTAAACATGGAAGTCGTCCAGCCCATGAAGTGCGTTTGGCTTTAATAAGTGCGTTTAAGAATTATATGAATAAATGCATAACGTGTAGTGCATCAAGAAACAAGCACAAGTTTGTCCAGTTATGCGCCCCATTCCATCAGAGGACCTTCCTCATAAAGTGTGCGTCCTGAGTGGGTTTTGCTAAAAACGACAGTTATTCATACTGCGTAAAATTTATGCGTTGTCTGGACGCCTGTTTTTTGGGAGGGGGAGGGGGGAGAGGGTCATAAGACTGCCGGGTCGCCTTTATCTTTCAGGGTGGAGTTCACTTTAAATTTATAAATAAAACCTGTGAAATCTTAAAAGTTACTCAGAAAATGCATAAACATTGCAAAAATGCTGACAAGAACTAGCTCCGATCGTAGAGGCACTTGCGCGGCGAACCGCGTGTGCCCAATCTGACTTAGTTGCGCATGTTCATGGATGAAAGGGTGTGCCAGTTTCAACATCAGTGTTGGAGTAGTTAACTCTTTCACTCCCAAGATCTCATTAGTAATTTTCCTCACTGTCTGCTATACAGTTCTTATGGTTTTAGTTCGAAGAATTTGGTATTGGATCAACCAGTAATCCCTTAATTGAAATTTTTCTTTATTACTTGTCTCCTTGCTTTTAGATTGCTATTGTATGGAGATAGTCGGTCTTGATCACTCATAGCAGTGATAGGGCTGGTGAAAAAAAGGTTGTCTATTTCAACTCATTAAATTCGCAACACGCACACAATTATTATGTGCTGGACAACTTATACTCGCCAATATAGGATTAGTGTTAGAAGATTAATGTCTCTTCACATGTTTGTTGTTAATGTTATTGTTGTTGTTTTTTTTTTATCAGCGCTTTCTAGGGTTGTCCCTGACTCCAAACCAATGCTACCTTACCAGGGACCAGGTATGTCGATAAGAACAATGTGTATGCGTATATGCATACGCGTACGCACTGGGACGCATCGGCATTTACATGTGTATATGTATATTTCAGCAGGATTTTTGAGAACCAGGATGACTCGGCGTTTTTTCTGCTTCGTACTGCCCGATAAAAACCGCAGCGCGCTCTTACACTGCAGTTTTCAGATCCACCCCACTCCCCTGTAAATAGAATGTTAATCCCCTGCCCACTAGCTAATAGTCTTGTCTCCATCAAACTATTGTTATGGCCAGTATTGCCATCAGATATTTTGCGCACGCCCGTAAAGAACACGAGGCGAATGTAGTTCCATCAGCAGGAAGATAAGGTATGAATGTAACAATGCAGTTTTCAGACCTACTACTTTCCAGGACCCCGTATCTCGGTTAAGTTGTCGATAGGCCCTATGGTTTTTATACTTGTTGATCGTCAGCATGTAAAAGCCCCGGTTTACTGAAATGAGTTACTGTGGCCTGACAGGCAGGAATCAAGGTCAGCCCCCATGAAAGTAAAATCACAAATTTGTTTGATTTGGTTTACTTTTATATTTTTAGCGGAAACACCTTGGCTGAGCCACCACTACGTGATGCACACATCTCGTCCGCGTGGACTTTGCCTTCTGATAAACAACGTTCCAAACTTAGCGGTGGGAGAAGAGCAGCTCAAGGGCTTGTTTAAGTTCCTTTCCTTTGATGTGCTAATTGAAAGAGATCTTCAAAGGGACGAGATCTATAATTTAGCTAAGGAATTTGCAAAGAAAGATCATACTTACTTTGACACATTTGTTGTTATTTTCCTGTCTTTTTCTGGCCGGTGCAGTGAAATATCTTGTCCTGATGGTAGAAACGCAAGCCTTGAGCATGTTATGGTGGAGTTCACAGCATCAAGGTGTCCCTCCCTCCGGGGTAAACCCAAGTTATTTTTTGTTCAGCGTGTTAAAGGGATACCTTCAAGGGTCGACAATGAGTGCTCAATCTTCGCAAGCGGAAGCTTTGCAGAAAAGGATGCCGTTAGGTTGCCTTGCATCTCCGCCAGTGAGAAAGACAGCTGCCCCGAAGAAGCCGACTTTCTGCTTATTTGTGTGACTTCTACATATCCAGCTGATCAACCCAACAGAGAACCAGGGTCTTTGTTTATTCAGGTGAAGGATCAGTCATCGTTTGTCGCTTGGGGGGGGCTGGGCTGGAGGCTGGGAGGATTTTGGGGGGAATCACATAGTTTTCAGGGGGAAAAGATGGGAGTCAGTCGTCGCTAACAGAACATAATGAGGGACTTTTGAAAATTGATTGCAAATGAGGGGGGATCATTAGAATGCTACAGGGCCACAGGGGGATCAGATAAGTTTTATAAGACACAACCAAAATCCTCCAGCGATGAATAATGACGGGTCGCAAAGCGTACGAATCAAGGAAGGAAATGAGGCCAGAATTAATATTCACCAGACCCAGTCAAGCAAAACTGATATCTATTGCAGCTCAGATCAACGAAAACTTCAGGCATTGTGCAGCTTATTAATATCGATGAAAATGTAATATTAAAATGGAGGTTAATTTTCTTGCCAACTTTAAAATGTCAGAGTAGGGAACTCAGAGGTAGAGTGACGGTAGGGGAAGAAAATTGTGACAAAACTGCTCGATGCACTTCAAGTGTTGGATAATAGCTCGGTACGAACAGAAGGAGCCGGGCCTTGCCCAGAAAACGAGAAAGAGGGGCTGACGTACCAAAATGGGTACTTTTTTCGTGGATTACCATCAATGCTACAATAGAGCAATGTTGATACAACACTCCCTCAACCCTTTTTATCAGCATTCACTGATCAATAGGAAAGAGATAAATACTCTTTGTGTGAATTATTGAATCAAGGGAGCGGACCAGTTACTTCTGCTTTGCTCGTTCAACAGATCTTGGACCAGGTCATAAGAAGTTCCTGTCAAATGTACCATCTGCTTGACATGTTGACGATGGTAAACAAAAAAATGAAGGATAAACAGAGTGACCAACCAAGCATTAAAATGCCATATCGGAACCACACACTAAGAGCAAGAGTGTATTTAGGTAAGAAAATTAATGAAGTAATACGCCGATCAATTTGAAGTATCAACCCCTTTCCCCTTCCCCCCCCGACTAGCTGAAGTTTTGAAGACTTCAAGGACCGACGTCATCATTAGAGTCTGTCAGTGGAGTGTCATAGGTCTCGTTCTTGGAGACTGCTGGTCAGTTTGAATGTTAAAGGTTTTCAAACCGAGAAATGCATACTGCATAATGTATTGATCCTGGTGACGATACGGGAAGAACACAAGTTTTAGATGAGCTTCCTCCCCAACTAACATGCCTTGGATATTGGTAAGCCTCTAGGGGGGGATTCTTGTTCTCTCTATAGTGAAATAAACGCAGCAGCTAAAGCAACACGCAATGACCGTACGATATTACTTTTCGTCCTGGAAAATTGGAACAAGCGGTCGCTGGTGAGAACAGGAGACACTTAGTAACTAGATCTGTGTTTTTCAGGTTTTGCCGTGCATCAAACATGTTCCTTTTAAAATTGATTGGGATACTAAACTAATTTAAGTGGACGTGCAATTCTGCCTAAAAATGGATGCTTTTTTTTCCTTTAGGTTCAACAGTGCCTTTAGCCCCTATCACTCCAGGTATGACTGTTTGGATTCCGTCTCTTACCCCATTCACACAAGGAAAAAATACTTAGTTTAACCGGGTTTAACTGACGGAAAATCAGATTCAGAACAGAAAAAGTGAATTTTTCCATAAGATTCAAGTAATCGCTTACTTGTATTTTCAATGTGCTACATTTGAAGTCGACAGCTTTTATAAGGAAAAACAATTTAAATCGTGTTGAAAACAGTCCTAAAACATGTGTAAGCTTTGGTGTGAATGGTGTATAGGTCATTAACTGGATCGTAAATACGTATGAAATACTACATGCCATTTCGCCTTTTGAAAATTATAATGGTTAAGATTAAAAAAATAAAAGGGGCCCTGAACCCTCAGGGTGATTGGCTCCTAATTTTTCCTAACAGAATATTAATCATCCTTGAATCAAAAATTAAGATCACGAGAAAAAGGAAATGATCACCAATTTAGGAAGCTCCTGATTGTCAAACAGATTATTCTTGCAGAGGAAATGAGAAGAGAACAGTATGCAGAATATGAATACCAATGTGAGAGTGTAAAGGGTTAAAACCCACTCATATCGAGCATTTGTTATTGATACAATTGATGAATGAAATTTCTTTGATTGGATTTTAAACTGGAACTTCAATTTTTTCAGCTTTGGCCCAGGAGGTTAGCTATGAAATGAACAAGGATCCTCGAGGATTGTGCGTCATCGTGAATAACGTCAACTTCCAGAACAGGGACCTGAACCGACCAGGAGCCGTCGAAGACGAACGTAGCCTCCAACTTCTGTTCAGGACGCTCTTCTTTGAAGTAATTATCCGGAGAGATTTGACGAGCCACGAGTTGGAGAAAGTGGCACAGAAGTTTGGAGCTGCAAATCACAAAGCGTATAACGCGTTTGTGTTCATCGTCATGTCGCATGGAGGAGATCGCGATTGCATCTTGGGCGTCGACGGAAGGGAGACAACCGTCAAGAATTTGATGTGCGAGTTCCGTGAGAACAAGTGTCCTTCACTTAAGCATAAACCCAAAGCGTTCATCATCCAAACTTGCAGAGGATGTCGAGACAACGCTGATAATTCAATTTCCTCACCTGATAATGATATCAATTTACAGCAGAAGGTCGTGACCACGTCACAGGCACAGATAAGCTCCCAGCCATGTGATACTGCATTGGTTACTGACTGCACCCTCCCGCGGAGCGTGTTTCCACCGGAAGCCGACTTTGTCCTGGCCTTTGCCACCGCGCCGGGTTACGTATCATATCGAGATCCGGATAATGGCACCTGGTTTATACAGGTAAGAAATCGCAAAAACCAAAGCAACATGCTTTGTTCGATTCATGTGCTAACAGCGTAAATTGACAATACTTAATTACCCTGTTATACTTTCACCGACGCAGCTCCACAGTTTTTTTAGAAACTTATCCCCTATACTAACTAGTCTCCTACTGTCGAGCACAAGCTCCACTTGAAATTTGGCGGTCGTTTATAGAGTTAAGAGTGTTTGAAGTAATCGTAATCTCCTAAGAGAGAAGTATTAGAAAAAAACTAGAAATGGATAACTCGCTAAAATGGCCTCGTTTCAACAAAGTAGGCGGTCAGACAACAAGCGATGCTCTGTGAAAGTGAGGCGAGGCGTAAATATTCCCATACAAACTCTTATATTTTTGCCTTAACGCTTACCATGCAAGACGATCATCTCAGAGCTGGAGCTTGGGCCGCCTGTGGGCTGACTCGATTAAGGGTCATTTTAAAGGTCATTTCAATTTCCACATAAAGTATCCTTTTGCCAACCTAGCTTGGCCTGCGTTATAATTTTCGTCTCAAGTTTCTAAGTCTTTTGGCTCATTTTGTCCGAAAACGGTTCTTCTGCCTGGATGGTGATGTTCCTCATTTTTTGTACTTGATTATTGTAATAGGCTTTAGTCGAAGTGATCAGCAAATATCATCATCATCATCACTTCCTTGAGATCTTGACAGAAGTCACTAGACTGGTAGTGGAGCGTGTTAACTCTGTCCAGGTTCCTGCCCCCATGGATACCTTGACTAAATTTCTGTACTTGTGAGAGGGGACTGAGCTGAGCGATTTACTGTCAGCCGTTCCTATGGATACCTTGACTAAATTTCTCTACTTGTGAGAAGGGACTGAGCTGAGCGATTTACTGTTAACCATGGCTTCGTTTATACTGTTATTATGTTAGAGATTTAGAATGAAACTTATTGAATAGTTCAATGTTTGTGGACACGATTGTTACCCAATGAAAGAAGAAGATCGTCCTTTCTTGAATCAAATTTAATCAAATCGAAAATTATAAAATAAGTATGAAATTGCTGCTGGCTTTTTTCTTATTGAATTACAAATCAACTTGATTTTAAGACGCTAGATGTCCTTTTCATCTGTTTATAATTTTATTTTTTATTTTAAGTATAGGAATTATTGTAGAGAGTTTACTCTCAACATTTTCAATTTTTTTTTAACTGCTTAGAGTTTTAGACCCTAATTATTCATCTTGATCTTACCATCTGAATGGGAGTTTAAGATAAACTCAAAGAGTTGTTAGAAAGTTCGTACAAAATTTTCGAATTGTTACATAAACTACCATTTTATTCTGACAAAAATATTTCATTCTGCAACAGAACGTAGAAAATGATATGTTAAAAGTAAGAGAGCAGTTACTTCCACTCTAAAAGAACAGAAGTTGATTAAAACACACTTGAAACATGTCTGCTTGATAGCAAGCGAAAAACAAATCCTGTATGAAAAAAAAATAGAAATAGTAAACCTCAAAACACTAAAAGCAAACCTTAAGAAGTGTAATCGAATAAGTGTAAATATTGTAAAAGTTTGCATACTGTTGAATTTAATGTGTATAGTTTGGTCAGAGGGAAATAAAATGATATCAAATGTTGGTTGTGTATCAAATATTTTCATCCTGTGACTGCCATTAAATAGCCGATTTTGCTCAAAGAGAGATTAGTAAGATACTCTGGGAATCCTTAGCGGTCCTAAGCCGCTTTGAACGAGCTAGATCGCATGATGTAAATGACCCGACGCATCTCATTATTTCAGATTTTAAATATTTACACAGAACGATATTATCGTGCAGATTGATCTCTGGAATCTGACTGAGCCTGTGAAGTCTCAGCTTTAGCTTAGTGATCTTCCAGATACAAATAAAGAATAGCTTGTTGAAAGATATGCTAGAAGGATCGTGACATAACTTAGAACGCGTAAGTGCTCGAACAGGTAATTTTAGCTCCGCTTTGAAACATTGCTGTTTGAAAAGTGCCGTAGTTGACCCTTTCCAGAAAGCTTGAAAGGAAACACTTTGTGATCATGAGCTATTAAATCAAATTAAAGAATTTTTCTCTTTAAATATTTTTCTCTTTTGTACTTTATCTTAAAAACGTAAAATTCGATGCAAATCTAGCGTGCATGCCTCAGGAATATATCTTGAGGTCTTTTAAAAGCCCGCCCAATCTTCAGCCCAAGGTCGTCTTGGCCTCTTGTCAGCGGTTTGGTAGCCAAATAATGACCTTTGGGAGAATGGAATTTTTTTCCCAGAAACCGTGGGATTCCGGCTTTAACTGCGCATGTCTACATTGTTAGTTATTGCTTCCGGTTGACTTCTGCGCATGCTTAAATTAGAGTAGACGGTCCGCTACGTCACCAAAAGAAGAGAAGAACGTAAATTACTGTTGTGTACGTGAACATAAGAATCATCGTAACAAATAGAAAGTGTGATTTATAAACCAATAGAAAATACCGAGATTTTTTCCATTATGTCCTTCCGGTGCTCCTGGAAATTTGGAAGTGAAAGAAAAAGGGATGAGTGATGGCATTGTACGCAGCTTTTACGCGAGAATCGAGCTCAGAGGAAATGAAAAAGGAACAACGCCAAACTTTAGAAGCGATTGGTTAAGATTTAAGAGAAGCTGTTGATGGAGCAGGTCACTGCACTTGAACCGGGATGACTACAAAACAAAGAAACACAGCAATGTTTTGAAACTCTTATAAAAACATCCATTCCGTCGCCTCTAACATGCGACATACCTTAGACAACTTTCCTAACCTTTCCTTGATATACTTAACAATGAAAAAATGACAAACAAGTTTCTTTTGATACTAATTTAATATTTTCCTGTTTGACATATTATCTTTTGACCTTTTGAAATGTACTTTTTTTATTATAAATTTAAAATTGTTACTTGATGTGTTACATTTTGTAACATTTTGAGAGTATTACTTGACCCTGAGTTTACTGAAAACACATGCACATGAATTAAATACCCACATCCCTCCTTAAGATAAAGAGAAAAAGGGAAGCAACAAATATAATTTGAACCTTGAAAACATCACACTGAATGCATGTACTAGACAATTATGATGGAGTTTAATTTTGAAGTCTCATTGTATTTCTCATTCTCGCCATTATCAAGTAGATATATAGATTCAAAATGAAATTTATAACACGTATAGGTAACAAAGCACAACATGCCTTTCCTCAAGCAAAGCGCCTGGCCATATGCAGCTTGCATGGTGATACGTTTATCCTTGGAAGACAAACAACACCTAGAAGTTGGCGGCACATTTATAAATGGCGGACAATTTGCTGGAATTTGCTGGCTGAATGTAGGAGTTGGAAAAGAGCAGAATATCCAAGATTGCAAACATTGAAAACAAGGCATCATCCCCCACTCAGTGGGGGTGATAAAAAACACGAAAGGCATCGGTAACTCGGGTGATAAAACCACTTTTATGGAGCAGCTACAAGATGACTTCATTATAAGCAGTGTAACTGAGACTCAAATAACTACGTAGCAATTTTTCTCTTCTGTGAATTACACTAAAAAACCGGCGGAGTCTTGTGAACCCTGGAAAGCGAAGTAAGCTTTCTGGAAGCAAAGAAACAAAGAAAAGTTCAATTCAACTGAAATCAGTGCAGAAATCAGGCTCTATGATAATATCTCAGCGCCTGTTAACCTCGTAGATCATAGATTAAACGCATAGAAGATTTTTTTTTTTAGAGGGCACGGTAACGAATCCTGCAATCTGATTGGTTCTTTACCCGGTCAGTATTTTCCTATCTCTGCCCACGGGCAACGATAACGCTTTCTTGAGTCACCGAGTACATCCCTTCATTCGTTGCTACTTTTCATAAATATATCTCGTTTTACCGGCTGGGCAGTATTTTTAAGCAAAGACGTCGGTCACTACCTTAAGCCGATAAATAACTTATTAATCCTCTCTTTTCTCTCTCACTAGTCACTTTGGTTGTCTGAAAATTTTCGCTTACATTACAGTTTACATTTATTTGATAATTAACATCTTCATAGTTAAATTTGTGTCACGGGAAGCCTTATTATTGCTAAATTGTCTGTTTATTACTCCGCTTCAACTGGTCAGAACTTAGAATTTCTACAGGTGCGTTGTGACGTAAATTTGCAATTTAACATGCAAGCAAGGAACATGAAATTACTGTTACATCAACGGCAAACATCAAAACACCTCCGATTTCACTCACTTTTCCAAAACCCTACAACAAACGTCGCAAGAAGAATAGCAACAATGATCTTGCAAACGGCTAGTGAAAATATTGTCATTTTCAAACATAAACGACTGAAAGAAAACGGCAAGAAGTCTAACATTGATCATTTTCGTTTGCCATCATCGTCATACGTAACCTTTCCAACAGCATCACTGTCGCCAAAATGTAGAATTGATGAGGCCAATTTGCTTGAAGGAAGAAAGCTTCAGTGATATCGACGCAGGAAAAATGTAAATTTGTTTTAATTTGAACTTGAACTGGGCATTTGACCATTCAGTAACAGTCGATAGGCTCAGCTTTTCTCTTTTGAACTTGAATATTAAGGATTAGCAAGGTTAGGAAATAATCGTGTTTCCTGTCATGTGATCGCATTATGCACTGAATGCATATACTAGACATATGATAGAGTTTGATTTCAAAGTCTCTTTGTATTTTCTCATTCTCGTCATTATTAAGTAGATAGACACAAAATGAAATTTAAAACACGTATTTAGGTAGCAAAGCATAACATGAATGTACTAAAAAAGCTCAGAAAGTACGATTTGCCTTTCCTCAAGCAAAGTGCCGGGCCATATGCAGCTTGTATAGTGATATGTGTATCCTCCGAGAACAAACAACACCTAGAAGCTGACGGTACATTTATAAATGGTGGACAATACGCTAGAATTTGCCAACTGGATGTAAAAAATGGAGAAGAGCAGAATATGCAAGATTGAAAGCATTGGAAACAAGTGTTAGATGTTTTTTCTAA